TTCGTCCCCCATCACTCCTCTTCATCTTCTCATTACTCCTCTTCATCTTCCCATCAATCCTTTTCGTCTCCCATCACTCCTCTTCATCTTCCTATTACTCCTCATCATCTTCCATCATGTCCTATTTCTCCTTTTTGCTTCCTAACACTTCTCATTACTCTTTTTTACTCCCTTTCATCTTCTATTACTTCTCATTACTCCATTGTTATTTCATTTTTTATTAGCATCTTTCTCCTTGATCATTGTAATTTACTTATCTTTTTTATTTATTGTTATTGTTTTTTTATTTGTATCACTTCATTAAAAATAAATACAGTGATTTTTTTCTTTAAAATCGTAAATGTGTGATTTAAAATTTAATATTTACAAATAAAATTTTATTAGATAAGATTATTTTGGATAAATATGCTTGCAAAAAAATTTTTTTTAAAAAAATAGATGTTTGCGATAAAATTTTTAAGTTTAGCCGATCAAAAATATATTGTACATCATGTGACATATTTAAAAAAAAATCCAGGCGACAATCGCCCAGGTAACGTTTAGCAATTCCCAATTATATTTACAATAATGTAGTTATTTATATTAAAGATTTGACGTTTAAGTGTAGAATGAAATTCGTATTAATTAAGGAATTGTGAAAAAATAATTGTCAATAAAAATTGATTAATCATAAATTTTATAATTATTTCTTATTTTATATTACGTCAATCTTAAACTTATAACCAACTTAGGAAAAACATTTGAATAATTAAATGTATTAGAATCTATTCATTTCATTTATTATTATTCTTTTGGTACTCATTTTTACTCGATAAATTATTAATTTAACTAAACCATTTGAATTAAAATCTTTATTCAAAAATTTGGTGGTTATTTAGAGAATTTCGGAATTCGGATATGAATTTGGTTATAATAATCTATTATTAAATCAACAATTGATATTTTTACATATTTTATAATTAATTGATTGATTTTTATGAAATTAGTAAATCAAAATTATTTGTCCAACATTCAATTTAATTGAAAAAATCTTACTCATCTTTCTATCAACGTCGGTCAATTTTCCTATATCTGATATGTTATATTGATTTTTTTTAAAAAAAAATAATAATTTTGTAAATATATTTAATATAATACTAGCCAATATCCTGGGCGTTGCCCCGGGTTTGTGTGGTTAACATTTTTAGTAGCATAACACAAGCAATTGAAAATAGGTAGCAATGTATCTTAATTAAATTTACCTTTAAACCAGTTTCTTTTATTTTACATGAGCTATCCGAACAAATAACAAATAAATAACATGATAAAATAATCTAAACAGTTTCTATTGAAAGATTTCAGGATACACAACACTATGTGTAACATTTTTGCCATGTTGTATAGTAATATGAATTTTCAAATTTTTCCTTGATACCACGCAACATAGAATTGTCCACAAGAAAACACAGGAGCTGGAAGATATAAGCCAACCCAGTTTAATGTTTGCCCGTAAGACTGACTTATTTATGGTCATTGCAAATGCTACGACGTTTGAAAATGAAAGGTATATCTGTTTCTGAAGGGGACATCATAATGCGAGGAATGAAAACTCTGGTTTCAGGATGATCTCCAGTAATTATTTCAACTTCAATGTCATGCTTTTGTAAAGCGCGGAAAACTAATCTTGTCCCATTACAGAGACCATCATTAGGTTGAAGATTACGTAATAGTATAATAATTGGAGTTCCCAATTTCAATTAACTTATGAGGTGGAAGACCACTAGTTAAAGAGTTGAGAAACTCTTGTGGATATTGATCATCTGCTTCCTCAACTGTATCTGACCTGAGATACTCAAATGCTTCTATCTCCAGCAGGAAATTGATTCATAATAATAGTGTTGATGGAGTTAACATATTAATTTGTAGGAGCAAGTATTCCACGTTCAACAAAATATTTGGGATCAGAATACATTGAAAAATCAGGATACACAAAGTTGATTAGGTCATTTAAGTCTTGAGAGTTGAGATGATAAAACAAAATCTTCAGGTAGTATAATAATATCACTTTCTGTTTTAGAAATTGCAGGAACACGACCTTCTCCAACTTCAAGTAGCCATTTAGCAAATTCAGCTTGCTCAGCAGTATCAGAATTATTAGTAGCATTAAAAAGAAGCATGTTAATCTTTAGTTTCATAACATTTACATGCTTCTACAAAGTAGATTGACATAACATAATTCAACAATATCGTCACGTATCAATGTCAAATTCATTCAAGGTAATGGCTTCCCTTTACAGCAACAGGAAGAATTTGCCGAAAGTCGCCTCCAAATAATACAACCTTACTTTCAAATGGTTTTCCTTCTAAATTTGGATTCAAAGCCTTCATAATATCTCTCAAAGTTCGATCTAAAGCTTCAATTGCACATCGATTCATCATTGGGGCTTCTTCCCAAATGATTAAACTTGTAAGCGAAGCTAGTTCTGAGCTATAAGATATAGAGCAAGTGTAATCTTGTAAATTATATATTTTTTTTATTTGACTCAATTTTCATTTCTTTATTTAACTTAAACTTCAATTAACTTTATTACATATGTATTGTATTCGTATGAGTATAAAGTTTAAACAAACTATTTATTAATTAAATTAACTGAAAGAACTAAAAATTTTTAATATCTTATGTATCTGATTAGATAACTTGTTTAATCAAATTTTATTCTCATTTTATTCTTTTATGAAAAGACAGATATTTTGCAGATTAACCGCAGCATCAAAGATCACATATTCACATGTTTAAAGCTACGCGTGATTATAGTATAACATTAAGGTTACACAGTTGAAATGTTACACAATTGAAAATTATTTATACATGGTACTCTAAACGTGACAGGGATCGACATCAAAAAATTAATCAAAAAAAAAAATTCCGATTAAGTTAAAATTTATTAACTGAAATTGGATTAGTATGATCGGAATGCACACGGATCGAATAGTTTTTGGCCATAAATAGATCAGGCGGAGGCATGTCACGGATTTTAATTATATGCCATGAGATTTCAAGTTACATAATTCAAATTATTTATACGAAGACTAATCCAAAACGTCAGACAAATTTTTTTAGTTATATAGATATAATAAAAAGGTTCGGGTCTCCAGGTCAAGTAAAGGTACTATAACCTGACTCGACAGGTCGAATTCATGCGGGTTACGAGTCATTACAGCTGATTTCATAATATACGGGACACCTAATAGTTACCGAGAGATGGCTCGGTACATTCGGTAAAACTCGGTAAAGTTCAGAATAAGGTAAACCCATATTGTTACTGGTCCGAGCATGGTGTAGTCTTTATTTTATTCTGAGTTATACTGAGTTTCTCCCGGCATGGAGTAAAAATGATGGGTGTCCCGTATATTATGAAATCAGCTGTAAATCCTGCGGCCTCAACCCGACCCTAAATACGAGTCGGGTCAATAACCCGGGTTTGACCCGACCCTTTCGGAACACTATGAATAAATTAAGAAATTATTTAAAAATAATTCAACTTAGCTTAGATGATTTAATGCTTTTTTTAAAAAAAAAAATAAAAAAAAAAGTTATGTTAGGGGAACGAGTTCCCAAAAATTAATAAAATTAATTGTTGATATCACTTTGTGATAATAATCAATTTGGGGTATTTGAAAATTCAGCTATCAAGGAGGCTTCATGAATTATTTATTAAGTTTGTTCAAGTTACAACAATCCTACTCCTCCTCTACGCTCGTAACATATCACAATCATATTTTAAAGATAGTTTATAAATGTTGAGAATTAACAAATTAAAATCAAAAAGTAAGAACGCAATTGTCATGTTTTAATCACATTGGACTCCCTGACTCCCAATTATGGTGTACCATGCGGTGTTTACATTTTTCCAAAAATTACATTTTTGAATATATGAATGTTGTATTTTTGGAATTTCGATCGGGATTTTATTGATTTATAAAATGAAAAAGGCAAGAACGACGTAGCTCTTACCATAAAAGGAAATTCTAATCGAAATTTTAAACATCACGTATATTCTAAAAAAGTAAGTTTGGTAATACAATAATGTTATTCTAGAAATTTGTGTAATGTAGATCTTAAATTCAAATTTTCAGGATCGTCACATCGATTCAAGCGTAGATTATTACGGAAAACCATTTTAACATGTAAATGACGGTATTAATTAATTTAATTATTACAAGTTATAATTTTTATTCCAATGTGTGTATATTCGTACATCAGCGAAAAACTTTCTCAAATATTTATATTTAACAATAAATAAGTGTGCTTAATAGACATAAATTATATCTTTATTTTTGATTTAAAGTACATTAAAAATCCCTTATTTAAAAGAAACGTTTCTTTCCTAAATCCATACCGACACTGTAAATTTAAATAATTGTATGTTGTATAATATACAATAAATACATATTTTTTTTTTAAAAAAAAAAAATTTAAAGAAAAATTATTTGCGTAGTATATATATATATAAGGAGATCAAAAAATAATAAAACAATAAAAGAAGGCCTTATCATATCATCATATCAAGTGGAAAAAATGTTACGATCGCGATAAGAATAAAAGAATGTCAGGTCATCAACTAAATTGAATGGACGAAAAGGTTTTAATTATTAAAACGGATAAAAGGAAGATAGTAATAAAAATACTAATAGTAATGGGAAAAGTTGAAATGAATGTAAGTTCCAACTCATAAACTATACCAAATCAAAAAAAACGTAAAATAAAAGTAAAAGGTATAAGCGACAATAGTGTTCATAGTCGAAATAAGGATATAAGAACGCCAGTTCAGGTAAAAAGGATTGATCATTAAAACGGATAAAAAAAAATACTAATAAAGGTAATAACAATCATTGTAATAATCATAGTAATAATAATAATCGAAATAGGGGTAAAAGAATGTCGGTCCGTAAATTATATTATTATTGGTAGGTGGACTAGGTGGTGGTGGTGGGGAGGAAAGGCTTTCGTGAATTATTACTAGACTACTACTTTTCCTTATTTCCTTCAACCGATTTTCTGCCTGGCCAGAAAGTCTTTTATAAGCTTCTTTTACTTCGGGAGGCTCTTTTGACCAAGAGGAACTTATATAAGGCGATATCCTAATCATGGAGATATTGTCACCAATAATTTTCCTGAGTTGTTTTATATAAGCCATTCTATAAATAAAATATTGATTCGGAGCTCTTGATCTAAGTCTCTCATCAGACCTACGGCTTAAAATTTCTTCCACCGACAATTCTGGGGGATAAGGTACGTTGATGAGTGGAATTTCGTTGTTGTCCATTTTTTAGAGAGATAGATAGAGAAAGAGAGAGAGAGAGAGAGAGAGAGAGAGAGAGAGAGATTATAGGATATTATAGGATATTATACTTATAGGATGGCTTTTATGATGACTTTTCCTCAAAAGAAATACGAATGTTCAAATAAATGGAAGGGATATTTATACATTTTTTAAATAAGTTTCGGAATAACCGATTATATTTATAATGTAAAAAAATGTGAATTGATAAAACCGGCGATGATCGTGATCGGTGACTAAAAGAGACTTTTATGTGATAATTTTTGATGATGCAATCTAGTATTTTTATGTACAATTAAATCATTTTTTTTTTTTAATTTAAAATTTAAAATATTTATTGAATTAAGGTTCTCACCATATTCTAACTTTTCCGTAACAAGAAAGTTGGCGAATTTAGTCGATACGTTGGCTTTTATTGAATGAAACTTGTTTCAGGATTTTAAACGAATTTTTATTTTTGGCGTACATATATGAAGTTATCAAAGAGACTATTTTAGTTTTCTATTTTTTTTTTTATCGGGGAATATAGAATTCGGTACCAAATTACTCCTATTATATTATAATAATGTATTAAAGTGATTTACACGAAATAAAAAATAAACTAAATCAAGTTAAGTGATATTCAGTAATATAATAACCGAATATACATGTTTTTTTGAATATCAATTTGAAGGAGACGCGCTATTCCATTACTTTCCAAATTAATTAAATTGTGGAACGAGTGACACATTTACACTTTTTTATATTGTTTTATGTTATCAACCCCATTGTTTGGGCGGTATATAAATATATTATAAAAATATATTAATTGTTTGCGTTTTAATTTTATCACATATTTATTTCTTTGTCTTATGCATTACGATCAATCATTCATATGATAATTAAGTTATGAATGTACTATCAATCTTATTGTTTTTCGGATAAAATTACATATTTATGATAATCAAACGATTCTATGCATAAATAATTCCCATCGATTATAATCGACATAATTATTGTATTGTGAAGTGGCCCTTCCACAGTTTTTCCTGGAATATATAATGCAAGATGTCACAAGATACGTAAAATATTTCAGTTCCCCTTTATTTTCTAATATTCCTTGTAGTTAGTTCTTCCCCTCAATCAAAAATTCCGAAATCATTTTTCATTATGTGAAACTTGTATTAGTGTCATGTATCACATTTAATAATCGGAATTACAGGTTGGCGCAAAAGATTAAAGTTTCAAATTTTCATTATAATTCGCTAGCGATTTTTGCATAGCAGATTGGCTTACATCTATTTTCATATATTCTAATGAAATGAACTTTTACTATAACAAGATACAATTATAATAAATATGTAAACATAATAGCATCATGATTCAATTGGTTTATGGAATCTATTCTCCTATGATCATAATAAAATTTTTTTACTTTGTTATTTTTACAAATATAGTAAAATTTTTAAGGAACAATTAAAATATTTCTTATTGATGCAATAAAATGTACGTCGAAAAAAAAAAAAAACGAAATTTCGTTTTATTAAACTTATTTATGCTCATTGTAACCATTGTAACATTCAATCAACTGTACAGCCAATGCGCACATCTTTTTTTATTTAAAATAAGGAATTTGTTTGTCAATAATCCAATTATAGCTAGATTAGCGTACTGCGTGCGATACAGTATGTGATCAAGATGGTAAATTTGCCCGCATTATGATATTGGCCCAGCATTATGTTAATCGATCAAAATTTACTAATTTACCCTACAATTTCTCAACTTTATCTTGCCTTGAGACGATCAAAAATTCAATAGTTTAGATATTTCACTTGCAGTAATTTTCTAATTTTCTAGATAATTAATGATTTTTTAGTTATCTTTTTTTTTTAACATTTTCATTATTAATATTTACAATTATTAAAAACATAACTTTTTTTAAATAGTGAAATGGCGTTACTGCGAATTCATCTATAAAAGGTTAACGGTAATATATTATAGATTGCGTAATTTTGCCTATAATAGAAATCATTTACGGATTTAGACTAAGATCTTCAACATACACACTTGTGTAATGATTCGGATTATTATGATATATATATAAAGTTAAATTCACAGAATTGTATTCATGTTTATGATATTTTTTTCATAGGTAAGGTTGTTCATATGCAAAAATTTGAATTTTGACCACTTTGCATTTTATTCAATAACAATTATTGATTCTTTTTCAGAAAATATCGAAACATGTCGTTAGAGAGTGGGTTGAACTTATTTCAGATCTTATTTCCATGGGAGAACAAAGATCAAAGAGTCTTTGAGCATTCTGATTTACCCGCAGCGAACGACAACAATAACATTACGATTGAAAATTCATAAACATGATTCTACGTGGGTTACTGTTTTCATAAAGGTAAAGCTATTTACATTTTTTTTTTTTTTTTTTTTTTTGGAGAGGGCCAGAAATTTAATTTAAGCAATTTGCTAATTGATAATTCATATGCAATTATGTATCGAAATTTAATCCGTACGCTCGGACTCTGGTTAACAGGAAGCAAATCTGCATTACATCCCCGATCTACAGGCGACTTGGGATTCTAATGCTGGAATTGTAGAGCTCGGAGATTGACTTTCTTTAAATAAATGGTATCTATACACTTTCTGATCCTAAAAAAAAGATTAGATATCTATATAGATGGTGAATGGGTTGGATTATATAGCATTCAAAGTGTTACTGTATATTGGACGTGCTTTCAATTAATGGTTTAATTAGGTATGATTTAAAGTTGCAGTAAATTAATATAAATATTAAAATATTAAATAAATTCATTATATAAATAGCAATGTTCGTTATTTCAACTGGCGCTTAACTGCTGAAGAAATGAAAGAAGATTTATTTCGTAAGTTACTTAATAATTTTACTAAATAACGATAAACTTTTACATTAATTGTAATTCTTTCATTTTTTTTTTAAAAAAAAAAGAATGTATCACAGAAAAAGCAGATTTTATATGGATCAAAATTTGCTCTTCTTGTACATGTGTCATATTTGTCTACTAAAGGAATCAAATATGATTTGGGCTCACAAAACTAGTAATATATGGTATTTAAATATAATTCTTTATTTTTTTTCTTTGTATTAGTAAAAAAAAAAAAAAATTAATATTGTAGTTTATTTATAAAATTTATAAAGGTTATTTGTAATAGTCAGGAAATAGATTTGAAAATGATGTTTGGACCGTTATTGGAGCCAATAGTACAAGTGTAAATGCGGGGAGTCCTGGATCTCTACGGTATATAATTTACATTCTCATGATACGAATTATGGAAATATACATCAATATCAAAGCAGTAACAAGGTAATATTGAATTGAATAAAATATAAGAGTATACCATATATATTAATAATATTGAGTTTTAATATTTAGTGATTCTGTGTCGTGATATAAATATTGATGATGATTGGATTATTCGACGTTATATCCAAACGATTCTGATTCTTTTGATGACTCTGGACATTTGATGAATGATAATATCATCATTGGGCTTTTACACATCAGAACTAACAAACAACTTTACAGTTATACAATTTTAATATTAGGGAATGGATCCTAAGAAGTTTCTTGTCATGGAGATGGAAGTGATACAAATAATAAGGTAACTTAAGATCATAATTATATGCTAATAAAAATATTTATTCTTGCTTACTATTTGTTATATGATAATTATTTTTAGTGGCGTATTGAATTAGTAATGGACTAATCCGAAATTATGAAATTGAAATATATTAAATATATTAGAAAATTTAATAAAGAAATGGTTAATTATGTAATTTTTTTACGATATCGTTTACACATCATGATGTCAATTTATTTATAAGACCTTGATGAATCGAAAATGTTCTACTTCTAACATTAGAATATTTTACGTGTTCACGAACATGATTTATGATGAATATTATTTTGAGATACTATAAAAGTAAATAGATGATACAAATTAATAAATCTAGTTATAAGAGCGTTTTAGAAGAGTCAAATCTGAGCAAAAAAAAAAATTATTATTAATAAAGTCCTTACACTTGGTAGTATTTATTTTGTACAACAATTTCGACACGTATTTATTTTTAAAAATTTGACAATAAAAAATATTATTTATGTTAACTACTAAAATAAAACGCTATAATTTACATTAATAAATGAATTCTTTCTTCTATTTCTTTTAATTAGAGGTTGGAACCGATAATGGGTTAATTTAATCGGTTAAATTAGTTGTTTAAATCAATCGATTAACAGGTACCTTAACCGACTAACCATCTTAATCGAATCGGTTCCAACCTCTACCTCTAATTTATAAAAAAGAACGTTTAATTTTACTGTTTAATCTCTCCATTTTAGTAACTTGTCCCAAAAATCGATTAAGGAATGATAATAAAAACATAGCTCCACCACTTTTTTAAAACAATGATATTAGATAAATTCTTATGAGTTATAACAATGCAGACTTATTAGACGTAACTGTGACGTAATTGGATAAGTCATAGTATGTCATAGTTAAGACATAATTAATCTTTCCGATCTTTTTCTCTTCCTCAACAGAAATAAGCCACATTTCCAATAGTTCGTATTCTTTTTCTTTGTTATTTTTCAAAACAACAACACTTTTTTTTGTTTATTACCATTCTTTCAAAGTGTTTCTAGTATTACCTTTTAAATTTTTCTTAAGGCACCTTGAAAGTTTTGTCATCATAAAAGGGAATTAAACAAACAAAACGCGTAATTCATTCCACTTTCTATGTGATAATTGATAAATAATTTGCGAAAACCTTATCAAAGTTTATATGGTCTAATAATGATTATAATTAGTCATCATGATAATAATTTGCTTTTGAGTAGTTTAAGACATACATTACCAAGGTGCGTACCATTTTTACAACTCAGAGTATGTGAGAAATCTGTCGATTGTCTTGCTAATTTTTCCGTAAAATTTGATTTCCAATAGTTTCAGTTTAACCAAACGCCTGTAGCTGTACTTCAAATACACTTAGAACTGGTCGTGTTGTTCGTTATATAACACAAGTTACTCGTGAAAAGATCTTTTTCAATCGGAAACGAGAACTTGCTAAGTTTAAAAATGCATTTAGTGCTGATCCGGAACTTCATGTCGTTCTAGGTCCTCCTAGCACTGGGAAAACCGCATTGATCCATGAGATAACGAGTAAAGGCGATTTCAACCCTCTTTGTATCAACTGTCGTGAAGGACAATTTGACACACCAAAGAAGGATATATGATTCAATAGGCTTGTTCAATTATGATCGTTCTGTTTTTTTGATCGAAAATCCATCAACCAATCCTAATATGTGATCAAAATTACTTTGATCGGCTTATTGAACGGTTAACCCTGATCACCTTATTTTTCGTATAATAAAATATTTTTCTTTTTTTAAAAATGGCAAATAAGCAATACCATAAAGGTATAGTAAGCTTTTTGAGGGCATATTAAAACTTTACTAAGCACCAGACACGTTAAAAAAAAGCGATCAAATTGATACCATATTTTTGTTGTTCGGAAAGTTCGGGTTAATGATCAGGACACACAATTTCATCAGCCAATAATTATCAGCTCAAAACCCGATCAAAATTCCGAACGATCAGAATTGAACAGGCCACAATTCGAACCAATTTTCAAAAAATATACGGTTTACTTAAAAAGTTACTTGCACAAGAAGAAGTCCCGTTGGAGTACAATATACCTCCACCCATTTGGGTCATTGATGAAGCAAACATGTTTAGCCAACTTGAGGGTTCAGAAGAGTGAGAAGTTCTTCTCAGATCAATTCTGAACTGGATGGTCGCAAATACAAAAGAAAAGGGGCGTTTTCATATAGTGCTTACCTCTTCTGATCCATTCTTTTTTAATTGGATCGTAGATAGTAAGTCCTTCTTATAATCATATTTGATAGCAATGTGAATGTTTATGGTTTTCTAATCCACGTTTATTGCCTAGATTTGCATATTCCACATGCAACCCATATATTGTTGGAGATTTGAGCAAGAAAGAAGCTGAAGAATATTTTGAAAAGCATGTTCTTCCTCGATATGGTATGGCTTTACTGAACCCATCTATTTATATGTACTCAGGGCTCACATGATGGTATTTGTTATTTTAAAAAAGGATGCAAAGAACTCGAAGGCAAATTTGACCGCGTCCGCAGAATAACGGGTACACGTATGATGATTATTGATAAATATGTTAAAGAATATAAAAATTGCGAAGGAGAGCTTGAATGTGCTTATCAGATTTTATTTTCTTTTTAAAGGATATACATTTTTGTTAATTTTAAAAAATCTCAAGTATTTTAAACTAATTGTTTTGATAGCAAATTTCCAGTTTACGAATCAGAATATAATAAGTTGAGATATGGTCTCCATCCTAACCATCCTAAGAATTAAAATATAAGCCAAATCCACTACTTTGGAAAGATTCTGATTTAATCAAAACCATGGAAGCAATAGTGAAGGCAGAGGATCAAGGATATATTTTAGAAGATAACTTGATTGAAGAAATTGGTTTTGACCAAGTTAATAATTCACTTGTAGATTATAATTTTTTTACCGTCGACCAACCACACGACTTGCTTATGATATTGACTCATCAGATGAAACAATTTTGACTGCGATGAAACAGCCATCAGTGAGTGCAATGAAACGTCTCCTGTCTAAAGTTTCACCAAGCAAAAAATAATTACTATAGTTAGAATGATTCATAATTTTATCATCTCACAGTTTTTAATAGTAGATATTTTTTACAATCACTTTCTTACCAGCATTTGTTGCGCCAATGCCTAGCTTTTTTACTGCAGGATATTTTTGATCCATACATTCTAGTAGTGTATAAACAAATTTTTTGGGCAAGCGTTTTACTGATACTGTTATACATGGACCTTAAATGTTACTCTATCATCAATAAATGTACAATCCACTAATAATCTTCTGTGAATTTCTCTAATCACTTCATCTTTCCATATATCATTTATACTGCAACATTTTTTAAGATCCTGTATTGATAAATTCTTTAGAATAAAGGGTATTAATTCAGGCGCAAGCCGGTCAAGCAAATTAGCTGTATGCATTTTATATACACTACCTACTCAAAAGTTTAGACCCTAAAAATTGAATAAATTAGAGTTTATAAATATTAAGTATAATAATTTTAATTTTATTTTATAATTTAAAATATAGAAAAAACTTATTTTATTTTTCACTTAATTTAATAATACTAATCTCATTTATTTTTTGCAAATTATTTTAATTTATATTTAAATTATAATTAAAATTTTGCTTTTAAATTATTTAATTTATAAATATTTAAAAATAATAATAAAATTTATTATCTCCATATCAGTAGTTACTGTTTTACTACTTTGTTGTTGTTTTTGGTGTTTTGATCTAATTTGTAATGCATCAATTAATCCTCAAATAAATTTCATATTTTGTAGAAAGTCTTTTGACATTGAATCATTCATGTTTCAGTAATCAGCTATTAACATATATCATATTTGTGTAACGCTGCTATGATAAGAAAGCTAGATCTACTTATTTATTAAGTTGAATAAATGTTACACAGTACTAACCGAATATTGTGTATTCCGGACTTGATCTTGTTATTTGTATCCCTTGTGAAATTTATGATTATGTTACAGGTTAATAAGATCTTCAAACTTACACATTCGTGTAATGCATTGATTTACAGTATATATAAGGGTCGAATTCACACATTTTTAACGAGATTGAAATTATTTCATATTTAAGGATAATACTGGTAAAAGGACACTAAATTTTTGAATTAAATTCATTCTTTATATTAATTAAATGAAATTTTATTAGAAAATTATGAAATTTGTCGTCAGGGAATGGGCAGAACTTATCTCAGATCCTATTTCCATGGGAGAACAGGATCAACGAATCTTTGAGCATGCTGATTTGCCCGCAGTAATTGATAAGTTGTCGGTGACATTACGATTGAAAATCCGGAGCCATTCTACTGATTGGGCTACTATTCTTCATAAAGGTAGTACTAGCTTATTTATTTTACAATAAAGGTTTTAATTAATAGTCATTATTTCTACAATGCTAGAATTTATTTATCAAATTAATACTCTTTTGGTCATCAAATACAACATACGTACAATCTAGGTACTGGACATCCAGTCCGTACTCCCGGACTCTGGTTGGCAGCCCATAAATCTACGTTGTGTCCTCAATTCACAGGCAACTGGCAAAATTGTGTAGCGCTGGATATAAATGAGGGGCTTTTGTTAAACAGATGGTACCACTTGGCTTATACACTTTCTGACCCTGAGAAGAGATTGGATTTCTACTTAGATGGTGAATGGGTTGGATTCAATAGCATTAAAAACGTTAAAACACAGAAAGTTGTTTTTAATGATGCACCGCTGCATATCGGACGTGCTTTCACTCATATCGGGTTTAATGGCGAAATTAGGCATGGTTTAAAATTGTAATAAAATTAATATAATTATTCAAATATTAATTGAAATCGTTATACAAATAGCAATGTTCGTTATTTCAATTGGCGATTATCTGCTGAAGAAGTGAAGGAAGATTTTTTCGTAAGAAATTTTCGAATAGATTCACGTCATAAACTTTTACAAATCATTAATGTTTTATTTGTATTAAAAAGAATGAATTTCAGAAAAAGCCAATTGTATATGGATCAAAAATCGCTATTGTGCATGTATCTACTGGAAAATATTTATCTACTAAAGGAATCAAATATGATTTGGGCCGAGATGACCAGCAATTTATGGTATTTGCCAATGTTTTGTTTTATTGATTCTTTATACTAGAAAATCACTTAAAACTTATTTTTAAATTTTATAAAGGTTATTTGCAATGATCGAGAAATAGATTTGAAAAATGATGTTTGGACAATTACTAGAGCTAAAGGTACAAGAGTAATATTGGGAGACCCTGTATCTCTTGACACTATTGTTGTACTTGAACATCAAGCAACAGGATTAAATTTACATTCTCATGATACTAGTCATGAAAAATTTACTCCAATATCAAAACACCAGCAAGGTAATTTGAGTTAATATATATTTTTTATTTTTAAGTTTTTAAGTTTTAACGATCAATAATTTCAAATTTTAATATTCAGTGACTTTATGTGGAATTGGAAATACTGATGATAAATGGCGTATTCAACGGTTTAATCATGATTCTGGTCATTTAATGAATGGTGATATCATCAGTCTTTTTCATGTTAATACCAATAAACCACTTTACAGCCATACCATCTTATTAGGTGACGGGTCACAAGAAGTTTCTTGTCATGGAGATGGAAGTGAAACCAATAATAAGGTAACTTAAGGTTATAATTATGTGCTAATGAAAATATTTCTTTTTATTTACTATTTGTTATTTGATAATTATTTTTAGTGGCGTATTGAATTAATTGGATGATTCTAAATTGCGTAAATGAGTTTATTTATTGAGACAATAAATAAATAAATAAACTACAGTATTAAGATTCTTTTGTTATAAATTTACTTGCATATTTTAAATATTCTCTAAATGAGAAAGGATTATTTTATATTTTTTGTATATAATATTATATAGACTTTGTTGTGAAAGATTCAATATTAATGCAATATACAAAACGTAATTATATAAATGCTGAACGTTAACACTTAATAATAATGATGAAACCGGAATTCTCATATTTTATATTGAAAATTGTGTGCAAAATAATTATCTTTGCATATTAAAAAAAAAATCTAGTTAAAATCGGATATACATATAATTGTTTTTTTTTTATCATTGATCTATTCGAAAAATTCAAGAATACAAAGTAAATGATTGTAAAAGATTTAATGGACATTACAAGTTTTTATTAAATTAACAATACTTAACATATCTTATTTAAGTATGGAAATTTTTATGGATATTTAGATTTCATAATACCCTAAATTCAACAATAACTCTTAAATGTAATTTTATTTTTGTTTATTGACTCTTAATAAATAATAAACATAATAAATAATAAACATAATAACATGAAGTACTTAAATTTCTAATAAGTATATCTCATTTTCATTATTATCTCATTTTCTCATTTTAGTATCAGTCAATTAATTCGATACGCCACTAAAAAGTATTATTAAATAATAAATAGTAAGCAAAAAATTTTCACATTATCATATTTTGAGTTAAATATGTACCTTATTATTTCTATCACTTCCATCTCCATGGCAACAAAAAACTTCTTGTGATCCATCGCCTAATAGGATGGTATGACTGCAAAGTGCTGGTTTATTAGTGCTAATGTGAAAAAGACTGATGTTATCACCATCCATTAAATGACCAGTGTCATCATAAGAAGTTGTATTTGTATTATAACGTCGAATAAGCCAATCATCGTCAATATTTACATGTGAACACATGGTCACTAATAATTAAAATACTAAATTTGTTAAACCTTAATACAAAAAATTCATATATATAATTCTAAAAATACCTTGTTGCTGCTTTGATATTGGTGTAACTTTGTCATAGCTCGTATCATGAGAATGTAAATTATGTCCTATTGCTTGATGTTTAAATCCAATAATAGTATTAAGAGACACAGGAGTTCCTTCACTTATGCTTGTACCATTGGCTCCAATAATGGTCCAAACATCATTTTCCAAATCTCTTTCTGGTCTATTACAAATAACCTTTATAATAAAATAATGTTAATAGTTTTTTTCCGATGTAATTAATAACAAAAAACGTTGGTAAATACCATATATTGTTGATTATCTGGGCCCAAGTCATATTGGATTTTTTTAGTAGATAAATATTTTCTAGTAGATACATGTACAAGAGCAATTCTCGATCCGTATACAATTGGTTTTTTTTGAAATTCATCCTTTTTTAATAAAAAAAGGTTAAACATTACGAATTACTTGTAAAAGCTTATGATGTGAATAAATTCTAAAATTTCTTACAAAAAAATCTTCCTTTACTTCCTCAGCAGATAAACGCCAATTGAAGTAACGTACATTGCTATTCATATAAAAGGTTCATTTAATAATATGAATTAAGTTTATTAAATAAATTATTGCAAATTCAAATCATACCAGATTTCACCACTAAACCCAATATGATGGGTAGTACTTCTTCCAACATAAAATGGTCCATTATTAAAGATGACTTTTTGTGTTTTAACATTTTGAATGCAATAGAATCCAACCCATTCACCATCTACATAGATATCTAATCTTTTTTCAGGATCAGAAAGTGTATAAGCTATATGATACCATTTGTTAACTACAAGTCCATCATCAAGCTCTTCAATTCCAACATTAGAACCCCAGTTTCCTGTGAATCGAACATGAAATTTGGATTTATTTGGCGTCAACTGTAGAATAGGAGTACGGATATCAGTATTGGTACCTAATATATTTATATTTGTTTTATGAGCAGAGAAAGTCTTAATATTTAAAAGTCAAACATAATTTCATTAACATTAGTCATCATAAAAAATAAAATTAACTCTACCTTTGTGAAAAATTGTGGCATAATTGGGCTCATGATTATGAATTTTCAGTCGTATTGTTACTGAAAGCTTATCAATCACTGTAGGCAAGTCAGCGTGCTCAAAGACTCGTTGATCCTGCTTTCCCATGGAAATGGGGTCTGAAATAAGTTCAACCCACTCTCTGACAATATGCTTCGTCATTTTCTGAAATTTTATTATTAAATGGGGAATTTATCAATGAAAAAAAAAAATAGTATCGAACAAAACTTTCGTCTAATTAGTATGAAGAGAAAACAGAAAAGGTATCCTTAAAATTCTATTTAACCTTATAAATTATAGTTTCGTAAAACAAAAACATTACACAGATGTGTAATGTTGATCTTATTAAGTAATGTTTCACTAGGACTAAAATCTACATAAGGACTAACAACTGTGTAACATTAGAAATTTTTTCCCATTGAAATCTCTTGATATTTCTTTAAAATTAGCCAATTACTACTTAATTCTAAAAAATAAAGTATCTACTGTATATAATTAAAAAAAAGGATTGTATAACCGTTATACTTAGAGTAAACTGTATAATTAATTTCGAATTACGTGACGTGTGATTCATCTGCGCCTTCATCTCAGAGTGACACGATCGGCAGTCGGCACAGTAGAACGGACTTTTTTTGTTTTTTTCCTTTCAGTTTTGCCTTTAATGGTTAAACTAACCAAAATTATTTTTTTAACGAGTAAACTGAAATTCAATTTTTTTTTCTTTTCCATTCTTCCGGTATTCAAAATCGGATTTTTTTTATTAATATATATATATATTTGTTTTGGTTCTCTCTTTTTCCTGGCTTTTTAAACTGAATTTTTTAAATTTGTATTGAATTTTTATTCTTCAGGTCTTTTTAGAACCGGATTTTTTTGAAATTTTTATTGAGTCTTTTCTCTCTTTCCGGTTTTTATAAAATCGGGTTTTTTATAACAATTTTTTTATTCTTCCGGTTTTTTTAAAAATATTATTTTTTATAATATTTTCTTTCTTTATTTCCAGTTTTTGAAAACTTAAAACCATTTTTTTTTTCGGTGATCAGATTGATTAAGGTAATACGGTTTATTTATAATTGTTTTTCTAACTAAATTTTTTTAAAGGACAGATTATATAATTCATAAGTATAATCATCAAAAAGAATAAAAAATGTTGGATATACATAGACAAAGAAATTCTTTTTTTTTAAAAAAAAAAAAAAATTTAAAAGAAAATGAAAATATATAAATGATTATATTTTAGGGATTTAAATACTTAATTAGTATTTGTTCGCATTGAAGTACAATAAATATTTTTTTTATTACTTGTAATATCAGCACTTGAATATTTTACATTTCGTAACGTAAAATAATAATCAAATGAATGATTTATAAATTACTTTTTTTTGTAAAATATTAACGCGTTGTTACAGAATTACTTTTACACATAATATTTTATAATAATTTATAATTATCTTTATTTAATAATTGAAAAGTCCTATAAAAAAAAAATAGAGGATTGAATTATTTAAATTACAAACTAAGAATCTTTTTTTACTACTCTAATCTTAGTGTTTAAAATAATTTTTAAAATAAGAAAATAAGATAATAAATATTAAAAATGAATATTCTTTCAAATTAATTGAAAATTAATTTAAAATTCGTCTAAAGAAATAATTACATTAATAAATAAATATATTTTATTATTTTAATTTCATTAAAAAATATTTAAATTATAAACAAACCATCGGGAGTTTTATCTTTTTCTTCTGAATGAAGATTTAGATTATTTTGTACTTCATCTATTAATATAAATAAGATAAATTAGAATAATAATACTCGATCATTATTATAAATAATAATTTATTTTACTTACCATTAATACTAATATTTGATCGTTGTTGCATTATTTCTCTCTCATCATAGTCATTTTGTACGTCTACTATTATAAAATAAATCAAAATTTAATAAAATATTCATTCTTATCTTCAAACGAAAATTAGAATTAAATATTTAAGGCTTTTACCATTCTCCATTTTCAATTTTTTAAATAATCTGGATGATTCTTTACTATCATTATCTATAGTAATTAAGATATAAATTAGTATTTATCCATTATAAAACTTTAATTTAAAAATAAATTACCTTTAAAATTAATTTTACTTGATTTACTAGGATTACTAGCAGCTATAATGAAAACCAATCAATATGATATTTTATTTATATAAAAATTCAATGTTATTTTAATAAATACTTACTATTATCAGAAAGACTAAAATCATATGATCTACTGATATAAAATGCTATTTTTTTTTAAAAAAAAAAATTATCTCAATTAAATTATTAAATTAAAGGATATATACAATAACATTATTAATTTTATATTACCTTTTTGTTCTTCTATTATTATTTAATTAAAAAAAAGGTATCATTAATTATAATGTTAAAGAAAATAAATTAAATAGTTAATAAACATTAAAAAAGCATACCTTCTGCTGCATTTTTTGGTTCAGGTAGATTTTCAAATTTATGAATTTTACTTGTAAATAGTTTACTACTTAAAATATTGCTTGTTTTTTCATCAATTTTTGTTATTAATTGAGGTAATTCATTTGGATTATTCTGATAATATGATTTAATTTCTCTAATTTTTTTATGGAGTGTCCTAGTATCAGGTCTTTTTAGTGGATTAGCATCCCAACATTGCTCCATTAAACTTTTATATTTCGAAGGAATTTCTGATACAATTTTTGGTCTTATACCATCAATAATATCAATTGCAAGAATATAATCATGTTCATAATTCATAAATGGAGGTTGTCCAAATGAAATTTCCCACATGAGCATTGCAATACTATAAATATCAGATCTAAAAGTATAACCTTTTCCGTTAATAACTTCAGGAGCTATATAGGGAAGATTTCCATATATACTTGTTGATGGCTTGTCTGCAGGACCAAAATCCAAGATCACTAATCCGCCAAGAATCATTAAGCTGTGAATATAATATATTTCCGGAATGCAAATCTCTATGAATTGAATTCTCTATATGAATAAAATAAAGTGCATCAATTATTAAAAAAGTAATTTTAATTCTTTCATTCCATGTAAGTTGATTATGATTTTGTTGTAAATATTCTCTCAAATTTATATTAAACTTCATCATTACAAGTAAATAATTTCCATTTGATGGATTTTGGGTTAAACCAAAACATCGAACAATAGTTGAATATTTGTTGCATAAAGTTAAATGTGATTTAGCCTTTAAAATAATAAATTTTATTATTAATAATTAAATTTTAAATTTTAAGTTCTTTAAATATTTTTAACTTACAAACCTCTTCAAACCAACTTTGACTTGCATTTTCAACATTTTTTAATTCTTTAAGTATTACTTGTAACCTTCCAAATCTCATTAATTGTTGCTCTTTAGAATCCCATTCTTTATAATATCCATTAATCCAACTTGCTTTATAAATCTCTGAGAATCCACCTTTTGTCAGATATTTAATATTTTCTAAATTATTATATGGGATCCATTCAATAATAACATTTGGCATAATTGTTTCCATTTGACAATTTTTTATTAAATTATCAACAATATTATTTCCAGAAGTCCAATTTGAAAAATTATATTTTAAATAATTTCGAACACAATATTCACAATATAATGTAGCTAAACATTTTTGGTTACAATTTTCACAAACTCTCCTTGTTCCATAATTATAAATAATTTTTACTCGGTCATAATCTATGTTAAGTATTCTTATTGCTTCAGTTTTTTCTTCTTTTGTAAGAGAATTATCAGCAAGAACGAATTGTTTACGAAATTCATATTGTTCATGAAAGTTAACGTAAATATTATAATCAATTGATGTAAATGATCTATTAAGTACTGCTCGCATTAATTCTCTCCGAATATTAGACATTCTTGTAAAAAACAAATTATTTTTAATAATGCAAAAAAAAAAAAAGTCTCCATAGACGGTTAAACAAAAAAGTTGTGCAACCACAAAATTTTAATATTGTCTACTAACCTACCTGTCATGTACTGCATTGTAAACAAAATGATGATCATCTGATCATACTATATAGACAAAAAAAAATGTCATTACCGGTTATTATTATTCTTTTTTATGTAAAAACTACAAAGGTACAAATGACGTTGAAGTTAAGGTATTGTAATTAGAATTATTTTCTATAAATTTAATTTTGAAGATGTTTTTGGAAAGAAACCAATTTTAACAAATCATCATAGAACTCAAAAAATGGAAACACCTTTAAATTCATAGTAAAATAAAATTTCAATTGCCGTACTTGTGATGATGATTTGTTAATTGATTTTTAAATGAGCCAAATTTGAAGATTCGAATGAAAAAGCGAAAATTAAAAATTCTTTGATTATAAAGTTTTATCTGTATAACATTTCGAAATTATAATACAATAACATATTTTTCAGGCAAAATTTTATTGCCTTTTTCACGACATAATGAGCTTGTAAAAATTAAAATTCAACTAATTTTCTTTACTCAATAAAACTTTTTTTAAAAAAAAATTCGGAGATTATTTTTTAATAATTTTTTATTATATAAAAAAAATATTATTATAGTTGGAGACAAATATTTAATAGTATATGACAATAATACATGGGTATATCTGCTGGATGATATTATTGATGGCTATATCTATTCAATGAGCGCTCTATAAAATGATCCTAAAAATCATCCACCATTTACATAAAATTCTTGAATATCCTGATGGTTCATGAGTTTTTTGTAAATTTTCCAAAATACCAAGCAAATATAAAACAATAGACATTATTATTAGCGAATTATTTAATCATTGATGCATTTTTAACAACTTACAATATCCTAATACTATTTGTTTATTTAATTTATTAATGAAAGTTGGATTCAATTCAATTTATTATATCTATATCTTAACTAAGACAAAAGGCCTTTGATGATTAATTATTATCATACTATATTATTTGGTAACAAATTTATGTTAACCTATTATTACCTTTAAACGGAAAGTGGGTCAAAAATATCTGTCATTCCCTTTAAACGAAGAAATTTTATTAAATCATATTAGTACAGTAAGGTAAGGGCGATACTAAATCTATATCTACCTGGTTATGTGATAAAAATTACGACATAACAGAACTGAAGCGTATATTTTGAATATGAGTATTGATTCGATTTTGACAAGAAACATAGAAGATATAGCAGATACTCAGATGTATGATGATTTTAAAATGAAGATTTTGGATATCGCATATACCAAATCAAGGATTGTGACACAGAAGTTTTACTTAGAGAATTGACAAGAGGATCGTCAAACAAAAAATGGTCGCACAGCTGTAGTAATGTTTCGCAGAAAAAGCTTTTGAGACGCATTCTTGACGAATATCTTTTAAATATACAACAATTGATTTGGAACGCACGTTGCAATGAGACAATAGAGTTCGAAAAACAAATGGGTATAGGTCAAAATCTTAAAAGAAAGAAGAAACGGTTGTCAGAATCACCGGAAGAGGAAGTGAAAAATGTTGATAAAAAAGAAAATAAAAAACAGAATAAAAAGATTAAAAACATTTTAAAAATAGAATTAGAAGAAAAAGTAAAGGATGACATATTTAGGAAGGGAACATCAAATGGAGCTAGAATAGGTAATCAAGTCGTTAGTAATTTAGTTAGTACATAGTTTTATTGTATGTGAATAGCACACAGGTTACGTTAGTTTATACTTTAAATTAAAGTTTTGATATGAAGAGATTTAGTTTAAATTTTTAGACTAGATTTCAATGTATTTTTGTGTTTTTCTATCATTTCCTTTAAACGAAGAAATTTTATTAAATCATATTAGTACAGTAAGAAAAAAAAAAAAAAAAAAATATCTATATCTATATCTACCACTAATTGAATTAGTAATTTGTCTAATTTCAGACAATTCTTCATAACTAAAGATTAACTTTTGCTGCCTCAACATTTTCTTCCAGATGTTTAATTTTTCCTGAGAATAACAACCACATTATTTCCTTGTAAAAAGTATATAAAATAGAGCTGCGACCCGTTACCGGTTTACCCGGATATAATCCGGGTATACTCAGGTAACTATGAGTATCCGGGTTATGGAATAACAAACGGGCAAAAATGGGCAACACCCGTTTTGTATCCATTTTACGTTGACCTTGGGTAATTGCATCATAAAATTTGTCAGAATTAAGATGTTAACCTCGGCCAGAATTTTAATGCCGGCCGGAATTAATGCTTATGAATACACTAGTCACCAAAGAAAAATATGTATGGTATAAAAACATGATATATGATGAAGGAAAACTACATGTCTTGCAATTGTGGAGACAAACTGAATAGAGCAATTCTACATAATTATTATAATTTGTTATTGATAGTGGATAAGAGGAATAAAGTGTATCTGACATTAAGTAAGAAAGTTATTATAAGTTAACAATTTCATTTAAGGAAATTTAAACAACTGAAATTAGAATTGGATTGAGGAACAAAGTACACAGTTGGAGTTTGTTGAAATTAATAATGGAGATGAAATAGTTAAAACAGAGGCGAATGCAATAATTAAAGAGTTAGAAACAGTCATAAAGATAGATATGGGAGAAATTAGTAATAGAAGTATTAATTAAGCTCATGAATCAATAATTTAATATGTGAAAAACGATTGAGATTGGGTTAAAACTGTTTGTAAACAAGTATAAAGTGAACATGATCAATTTTTCACATTTTGCGGACCTGTTTCATAATAATGTTAATCAAGAAATTGACTGAAACAAGACCTTAAAGTTCATTTCCAATCGTGTTGCGAAGATACAAAGAACGTGCATATAAGATTCCAACGTATGATGTATTGTTTGAAAGGCAAGTAAATAAAATAGATGACAACTGAATATATGTTTGAGATGTGAGACACTTGGGATCACATATGGGAATGTGAGAAGAATGAACTTGATGTTGTGGAAGTAATATTGCAAATGATACTGTAGTTAGGGCTGCGTTATGAGAAGGATAATGAAAAGGAAACATACCTTTTTCAGTATATTACAAAAATCGTCTAAGGTATTAGTGGTTAATCAAGATAATTTGGTTAGGGAGTCAATTAGAGGATTGTACAATAGAATGTTGAGTAAGATAGCAAAAAAAAGAAGAAAGGGTAGTATTTAAAAGAGTTATGGGAAGAGTGCTACAATGAATATTAAAAAGTATATTATGGGTTCCATGATGTGAAGGGGTAATTGAACTAGAGAAAAACAAAGGTATATGTAGTATGGATTAAAAAACAAGGATAAATTAAATAAATAAAGGGGAAGAGTATGAAGGCAAGTGGCAATACAACATATAATAAATGAAAATTGTAAAATAAATTAAAATAGATAATATAATATATAGGTCATACATGTATGGATCAAAATATAAAGTTTTGAATATTATAACTATAACAATATGTTTTTAAAACGATATGTTTTAATCCTATGCATTTATATACTATGTATTTATATATTTATAAATACTAATAATTTATTATATTTTTTTAACCATTGATGTCAACTGTAAAAATCCCAATTTCAATCAATAAAAGCTTTTAATACTGCATCTAATGTTCTTCAAAAATAATTATCTTTACATATTAAAAGGATTTTTTTAACCATTATAAAGTATATATTCATATATTTAATTAAATTAAATTAAAAAATGAATGTTATTGCTGTAAAAATAATTTCATCTGTATTGATCTATTCAACATAAATGATTATGAAAGAATAATTTACACTATTTGTTTTAATAAATCCGTTATCATTTCATAACTTGTGAGAAATTTACTAAAATAATGAATCTTGAAGACTCGACACATGTCAAATACGATATGAAGGATATTTTATTATGTACAGAAATTCTACGATACAAGTATTTTTGTTGTAAAAATATTTATGACTAAATATAATTCTCAATAAATAATATTCGTGAGCTTAAATTTCTTATATATCCCATTATCATTTTTGTATCAATCAATTAATTCAATACGCCACTAAAAAAAAAAATATTTAAATAATAAATAGTAAGCAAAAAAAAAATTTTTTCTGCATGATTTATATTTCTGGATTGAATATATGTACCTTGTTATTTCTTTCACTTTCATCTCCATGATGACAAAAAACTTCTTGGGATTCATCGCCTAATAAGATGGTATGACTGCAGAGTGCTGGTCTATTAGTTCTGATATGAAAAAGACTGATAATATCACCATTCCTCAAATAACCAGTATCATCATAAGTAGTAATATTTGAATTATAACGTCGAATTAACCAATCATCATCAATATTAATATTATTACTAGTATTATCATACAAACTCACTAATAATTAAGTTCTTAAATATGTTAAATCTTGACACAAGAAATGCACATATATTTATTCAGAAATACCTTGCTGTTGCCTTGATATTGGTGTGACTTTAATATCGCAAATTTCATGAGAATGTAAATTATATTCTGTTGCTTGATGCCTAAATCCAATTATAGCACTAATAGGCACAGGACTTCCTGCAATTACCCTTGTACCACTAGCTCTAATAACAATCCAAACATCATTTTCTAAATCTATTTCCTGTCTATTACAAATAACCTTTTACAATTTTGTAAGAAACCTCATGATGTTAAACCATTTTTTTTTTCTAGTATAAAGGATAACAAAAGCAAATTGGTAAATACCATATATTGTTGGTTATTTGGGCCCAAGTCATACTTGATTCTTTTAGTAGATAAATATTTTCTGGTAGATACATGTACAAGAGCGATTCTTGATCCATATACAATTGGCTTTGTCTGATATTCATTCTTTTTTAATAAAAAATAAAACATTAATTATTTGTAAAAGCTTATGATATGAATTTATTCTAAAATTTCTTACGAAAAAATCTTCCTTCACTTCCTCGGCAGATAATCGCCAATTGAAATAACGAACATTGCTTTTTTGTATAATGATTTCAATTAATATTTTAATATTTTATATTAATTTTACCATAATTTTAAATCATACCTAATTTCACCATTAAACCCGTTATGAGAGAAAGCACGTCCGATATGCAGTGGACCATCATTAAAGACAATTTTTTGTGTTTTAACCTTACAAACACTAATGAACCCAACCCATTCACCATCTATGTAGAAATCCGATCGCTTTTCAGGATCAGAAAGTGTAATAGCCAAATGGTACCATTTGTTTAACGTAAGCCTTTCATCGGTTCCTATTACCACACAATCTTGCCAGCTGCCTGAGAATTGAGGACTCAAGATAGATATGTGTGCTGACAGCCAGAGCCCAGGAGTACGGACTGGGTGTCCAGTACCTTAATTGTACGTGATGGCCAAAAAAGCATTAGTATGAAAATATTCTAAAAATAAATTCCAGAAATCTTGCATAATTAAAATCTTTTTGTAAAGGAAATAAAGCACGTCTTACCTTTGTGAAGAATAGTAGCCCAATCATTTGCATGGCTCCGGATTTTCAATCGTAATGTTATTGACAACATATCACTCACTGCGGGCAAACTAGCATGTTCAAAGACTCGTTGATCCTGTTCTCCCATGGAAATAGGATCTGAAATAAGTTCGGCCCACTCTTTGACAACAAATTTCTTCATTTTTCCGAAAAGAAAAAATTAATTTGTCACTGAATTAAGAATAAATTTAAAGTTGAGTAAATGAAAAATTCCTTTTGACAAGTTTTTTTACGATTATCCTTATAAAATTCTATTCCGTAAAATGGTACCTTATATATTATAATTAGGTTAGACAAATTCATTACACGAATGTGTAATGTTGAAGATCTTGTTAGCCGATAAGTTTCACGAGGGCTAAAATCTACATATGGACTAACCAGTACCGATTAACAAGGTTCAGTCCGGATATAAATGATTTAGTGTTCGTTCTGTGTAACGTAGATTGATACTATCTAATTAAAAAAATTGAGATATTTTTAATTTACGATATTTCCGAATTATACAATTTTCATCTTCAAAGTTTAACTGATAGATTAGATATTCTGAATCCTCTCAACATTTTTGATAATCGATATTTAAATTCTATTTGTTTTTATTTTTCGAAAAGAGACATTTTTTTCAAGTTTAAGTTTAAAGTAGAACGAGCTGATACTAATTTTTATATTTATTTTAGTTCCTACATTTTTTTTCTTTCTAAAACATAACGAACTTAATTTGTGTAAAAATACTGTAGACAAAAAATCTGCGGACTGGTCTATTTTAGGTTTTTTAAACGAATCCACAGAGGAGCCTTTCAAACGCAAGATAGAAGCATATATTAAATCTCCAGAGAAAATTATGGATAGGGTTTCAATTCTCTAAAATAAGAAAAAAGAAAGCAAACCAACTTTGGCTTAAGTCATTGTTTAAGTGTACGATATTTTCTGTTGGTAAAAAAAAATATTCTATTTTTATTTTAACTTTTCTATTGTTAATAATTTATAAAAAATTCTCTTAATTTAATTATTAACGATTATTGTTAAAAAAGAAAATTTCACAATTTTTTAAAAAAAAATCGTAATTTTTTTTAAATAAACAATAATGGTGCCATAGCATCTGCACTCTACCAGTTTAGTACAAGTACAAGTCCGAGTATAACATTCGTTTATACTTTTTTTTTTTAATACGATTCAAAATAGCCAATGTTAATGTTTTTAATTTATGAAAATATTTTAATACAAGTTGTTTTTCTTAAAATAATTATTATAAGCAGTATAAAAGTACCACGAAAATACTACACCACAAATTATCATAGAAAACACTAGCTTTTGTGTGAAATATGAAATTTTGGATAATTATACCTTTTTTCAAAATTAAAATTTAATGTGACCGTTAATTAATTAAAATAAAATATTGAAAATTTTCTGAGAATAAGAGATATTAATTTTCTGAAGAGAAATTTTTTTTTTTTTTTTACAAAAAGAGAAAAAGACAAATCAAAAAATGGAAAGTGATTCAACTTTTTTTTATTACAAAGGATAAATTGGATAAATTAAAAATGGTAAGTATTTCCTTTTCCACAAAAAATTTAAAGATTAGTTTCATCTATACTAAAAATTGCCCGAGTTTTTTTCGTCCAAATTGGGAATTATGAATGAAATCTCAATAATTTTTATTTTAAGTCATGATTGTCAAAAATTTATAATCGTTGGAACATCAATTTCGACACAATCTCTGGATAATTTGTTACGTGTTTTAAATGTTCGGTAAGATTTACAAAAGGAAATTTTTTTGCTGATCTGTTTGTGTAATAATTACAGCAGGTTACCCGCTGCATCCAAAACGGGAGTGCCAAAAAATAGCAAGAGGTCTGCAGGTCCTACCATATACTTCAAATAATTTGTCTACCTTAGTAGCACAAACTAATACAATCAAATAGAACCTTATTTTAGTCTCAATAAAAAGGGAATGTTTCCATTTATTTAAATTTGGAAACGATTAAAAAGGGGTGTAGTATTCCTTACATTGCTTACCTTTTTTTTTATATCTTACATCTTTTTTTTCAGTTATGTCAATAACTATAAAGCCATCACAAAAGTTTGGCGGAAACGGAGGGATTAATCTTGATGATTTTAGTTTAATTATTAACGACCAAAGTTTTAGTGGTATTGCCATAACAAAAATTCTTGTTAGAAAAATCGAAGCTCATTGTGAGAATATTGTAGCCTTTATCCAATTCACTTATTATATTGAAACTATAAAAGGATCATCAGCATATGAATTCTCAGGTAATAAGTATGGTAAAGGTGGAGGGGATACTCTAATTAAATATTTTACATATGATGAACAAGTAACAGGAATAAGCGGTAGATATGGCCCTTATGCCAATACTAGTAGTAATGTAATATTAAACTTAGAATTCTATACATCAAAAAATAATACTATTAGTTGCGGCAAATACAGTTCACTTGACACACCATTCACTTTGCCCGTAGGTGTTTTTTATGGTAGTAGTGACGATTATCTTAATAGTATTGGATCATACGAAATTTCATTTCCTTCATTTCCTTCGTTTCCTTCACAATCGACCGTTATAGCTCTTTCTTGTACTACTGGTATTCTAGGATTTTGTTTCTTAGTAGCTATTGGAATTTTTCTATGGAAGAAGTTTCGTAGTCTAAAAGGTCCAAAGCCAATCCCTACTCCATCTTCATCAAATTATTAATTTAATTCCAATTTTTCGAATCTTACAAGAAATATATTATTTAAGAATGTTAATTATTATTTCTCTTGAATCTTGATACTTTCCTTTAGTTACCTTTCTAACAAAAGGAAAGCATGACTAGAAAATATTTTTTTTTCTTCATTACTAAGTTTTTATATTATATTTTGTTTTGTTTATTTTATTTCATTTACTTTATTTTTTTTTTTTAGAAGAAAATATAGTTTAGAAAGATATCATCCTTTTTTTTAAAATTATGAGTACATGAGAAATTTTTGTCGAAAATTAAATTTACTTCGTCAATTATATAGTAAAATCAGTTTTTGTACGTAATCTATCAAAAGTAATTTGAAAAGTCATAATTTATCCTAACAAAAATATTTAGATTATTAGATATTTTTAATAAACAAGTCAGAAATTAGTAATTTGATGAATTTTTATTTCTTTTTTTAAAAAGTAGAAACGAATGGAACTTTCCTTTTTAAGCATATATGAATAATAATTAATCCATTAAATATTGTATGGTGTTTTTTTTATTACATATCAGATTTAGTATGAAAAAATGATTAAAGTGCCTTTTTCAATTTTAAATGTAAAGAAAAACTTAATTTGAACTTAAACAACGTCGATAAAGACGAAAAACATTATCTAACGAAACTTTGCATCACGAATCAATTGAAGATTACACATACTTTATCTGTCAACATACATTATTATGCGTTTATCTTAAAAATCAAATAAAATTCATATTACGCATATGTTTCAGAAAAAGAAAATATATCTTCGTCATTATGTTGTATATAATAATTTTCAATTTATTTTTTGTAACTCATCATTCAAATTTATATTTTGAAAAAGTAATGATCTTTTATCGAATAATGTTACCTATTCTTCTAAGAACTATTAAAATTGATACTAAACATGTATTTAGCTACCTGACGCACCAATATTAATCAAAATCTCGGACAAAAGTGTTTCATAAGAAAAATCGCCATATAATTTTAGCGGGTCACGAAATCCAAAACCACTTATATACTAGGAATTATGATATTGTGAATATAAAATATTTCCTGTGTAAAAACTCGATGAATTTTGCATTACTATCATGAATTCTATAAAGTGACTCAATTATGTCATAAGCTATAGTTTTATGCTTGATATGAGTTAATAGAAATATGATTTTGTAAATAAATATAAAACATGCACCTATCAAACCAACTAAATTTCTATTAGCATTCTCAACATTCTCCAACTTTTGAGAATTATATTCGTTTGCGTGAAATATTTGACATTTTTTGCATTAATTTTGAAAAATTCCCTGTAATCCGTTAGATTGTCCTTTTTAAAAACATTTATTAATATTTTTATCGTAGAAATGGATTTGTTAATATAGGAGCTATTTTTACGCCTCATCAAAGATTAGTAAGATTAGTGCAAAGGTAATATGGAAATGGTCTCAATTCAAAAAATATATCTCTTAATACATAATTAAATAAATATGATAAAAGATAAATAAATTTATTTTTTGTTTTAAAATTTACTCAATCATAATAAACTTTTTCAAGATTATTATTGATTTACGTATATACAATAAAAATTTTCGATCCTTTTATGTTTGAATCTTCATCTCCATACGGATAATAGCATGAAATACCTTACATTTCTTTCATTTACCATATTTACTAGACAAGGTTCAATACCAATATTATTATTTACTTTCATAGCGTAAAGACAAAAAAAGCTTATGTGTGAACTATAATCTGTATCCACCTTGATTTTCGTTAATTAAAATATACTGTATATTTATTAAAATTTTTATTCCAAACCAATTTATTTTTGATATATAATTTGGCAATGATTTTTTATTGCTATTTATTTTTTTTTGAAAATACAGAAAAAAAATTATATGATCTACATTACCGAAATAATTTTACTTCGCATTTTAACCTTTTCGGTTAGATTTATTTTTATGATCAGCTTCTTACGAATTTTCTTTATTACAAAAAATAGTAGTACAAATAGTAATACAAATAAGTAATACAAATGTGAGCACTTCGTTCAATTCATAATTTTTTTCTTTTTGCCCATAAAATAATTCTGAAATTTATTTTGGGTAGCATAGTTATTTATTTATATAACTAAAATTAAGATTATAATCCAAAACTCAATTAATATGGTAATATGGATGAAAAGCCAAAAAAATTATGGAAGTATGATGATAATTATCAGGTAATAGCAATTTAATATTTTTAATAATTATAATTATTTTATTGAATTTTTGTAGTTAAAAATATTAATAATTTTTTGTCTATTAAAAGTACCATGTTACAATTCCTACTATTGATTCAACTATTGAATCAGAAAATGTAGATGAAAGAGTAGTTTATATAGGAGATTTAGAAAAAAGAAAACAAGCATATGGAATATGTGGAGAATGTAAAGAACCTGGCACAGGATATAATTGGTGTCAATCTTGTAATGCTAAAAGATTTAATGATAACTTTAAAAATTGGACTAGTGGAAATAAAGTTATTGATGAATTTATACAGCAATCACAACTTAATGCTGTATATTATAAAAAATATCTTGAATGGATACCTTTTGAAAAATTTCAAAATATCACTTATATTGCGGAAGGTGGTTTTGGTTAAGATTTACTCAGCTGAATGGCCTGAAGGATATATTTATTATTGGGATATTGAAAATCAAAAATGGAATAGATTGAAAAATAATAAATATGCATTGAAAAGTTTGAATAATTCTTCTGATATATCTTCAGATTTTTTAAATGAGGTAATTTAAACTTACTTTGTCTTATATATATAAAGATTGTTATTTGCATTTATTTATTAACAAAAATTTTTCCTTTTTGATGATAATTAGATTAAATCTCATCTTCAGCTTTATCTTAATGATATTATTCAATGTTTTGGAATTACTCAAGATCCAAATAATAAAGAGTATATGATGGTTATAAAATATTGTGATGGAAATTTGAGAAATTATTTAAATAAATCTGAAAATTATATAAATTATGAATCAAAAATTAATGACTTACGACAAATTGCAAGAGGACTTTTAGATATTCATAATGCTGAAAAAGTTCACAAAGATTTTCATTCAGGTAATATATTATTTTATGGTTCTCCATATATAAGCGATTTAGGAATGTGTCAACCAGCAAATATGAAGCAAACAGTTAAAGTAGAAGGAATTTATGGAGTATTACCATATATGGCACCAGAAGTTTTACGTGGACAACAATATACAAAAGCAGCTGATATTTACTCATTTGGAATAATAATGAACGAATTTCTTTCTGAAGAAATTCCTTTTAATGATATTCTTTATGTTGAATTTTTATCTATTAAAATATGTAAGGGACTTAGACCAACAATTTCTAAAGACATAGTACCAAAGTTACTTGCAGATTTGATAATAAAATGTTGGGATGCTGAAATAAAAAATAGAACAACCACTAAAGAGTTGTATCAAATACTAAATGAATGGAATGATGAAATTAGAAGTATCAATAGTCAAAATAGTCAAAATAGTGAAATTTATCATCAAACAAATGAATGTGATAAAATTAGAGAAGAAAAATTCAAAAACAGATCAAATGAAGATAAATCCAAAAGCTTCAAAACGCATCCACAAGCAATTTATACTAGTAGACTTTTAAATTTCAAAAGTCTTCCAAAACCAGTAAATTCATCATCTTTTCAATTCAGTTCAGGTAATTAAATTTAATTTTATTTTATCATATAATCCATTTTACATTATTAATGTTATTTTTATTTTTTAATAGACACTAGTTATACTACTCAATCAACATCAGCAAATTTAAGTAAGTATTCCTTTTATTATTATAATTATTTTATTTAAATTTACTAACATTTAAATACTATAAATACGTAATAAACAGTTTCAGAATGCTTAGATGTTCAATTAAGTGAATTAGGTAAGTTATTATTATTGGTAATTTTATTGATATTCTATATCTAATTTATTTTTTTTTTTATAGATCTAAATGAAATTTGTCAAGATGAAGAAGATAATATTGAGTGAAGTTTCTTTTTATGTGAAAGTTAAAGTTAAATAGTTTAAATATTAATTCGTGTATTGAAGTTAGTTTACTTCTGTTTTTTTTTTCATTTATACTTTATAAATTTTTATAATATATAGTACATATCTGTTTATCAGATTTTATTGTTAAGAATATTCTATATAAATAAAGATTTTATAACCATTTGTAAAAAGGTGTAGTCAGTGGTTTTTATCACATGTATGTATAAAGGAAATTTGGAAATCAAAAAATCAGATCATTAACTAAATTTAGCTTAAAATAAACTTTATAAGCCAAAATAAAATCAAACTCAAATTTCTTAAAATTATATCCAAATTATAAGAATTCGTCATTACTTCTATTTCATAAAAAACTTATAAAGTAATGGTTAGTACACAATATACTTAAACTTAAGTATAAACAAGGAACCTGCTTTGGTGCTGAATGTGTTTATACTGTGCAACAAAAAAATATAAATGTACAATAACTAAGCCACCAAATAGAGGTAATCGGACTACTGTTGTCAAGAATGCGTATACAGCATTTATAATCCCAAGTCCCAACTGGGCAAAAGATCGAATTTCCTTTATCCAAGAGAAAGTTTCAACATATAACTATTCAGTAAATTTGAAAAAGACTTTCAATTTTTTACTTTGTTCATGCTGCAATAGTTCCTTACAAAGATTGACTACAACCAAAGCAAAAAAATCAATAAACTTCAAACCTACATTTGAAACCATGCAAATATCCCATAATATGCAATCGGAACCAGAAGTATATGATCTTACTATTACAGAAAAAGAAACCACATTGCAAAATTCACTAGAAAGACCCTAGAACCTGGTGAAAATAGTGAAGATACATCTATGGGCGATAACTTGGAATATGTGTTTCATATGGAATTTTTATAAAGCTAAATGGAAAACTTCAACCAGCTAAATGGTACAAAGTTGTAATATCTGGAATAGATGAATTTCTTGTAGAAATTCATGCCAACGTAATTGCACTAGCACAAAATGAACAGTTCTTTAGAATAGATGCCAAAGTTATATTATACGTTGTTTTAAATCCTCACTATAAACTGGAAGCATACTAAATAATTTATTTATAAAAGCTGTTAAATTTCATTAAAATGATCGAAATTAACAGTTAAGCTGTCAAAATTTATTTTCAACTTTATTTATGGTTTTTGATAGCGATATAACAATGATATTTATCAGGGAATCTGGTGAAATCTTTACTATTACGAAGTTTATTCAATGATAAGTTTGAAAAAAGAGGGAAATCTGGGAAATCTTGTGAATTTCCCGCCGTGATATTATGGTCGACTCCTAACTACACAATTTTGCAAACGGCTATAAACATAAAACTGTAATACAGTAAGTATATTTGCAACTGCAAAGATTCCGTTCAATGTATCTTTATTCTCAATAATAATTGTTACAAATCTTTAGTGAAATTTTATTTGATTATATCATTTTATGCGTAATAATGGTTAATACTTTAGGTAGTTATACCAAGTTAACTAAAATTCATTTTTTTTGAGATGAAAATTGTGATTAATCACATGATATTCTATCAAATTATATAAGCGTTAATAAGCAAACATGTTATATTTTTCTTCACTTTTGATTTCCGCAATTAACCTAATTGATTTTTATTTCGTAATATAAATCCTAATCTTTCACAATAAATTAAATAATTTACGTTTATTTTATCAATGATTATTAAATATCAACTACTCCGTTCAAATCATTCCACCACATTTTGCTTTTGCATTAAAACATAATAAGGTAGATATTTAACTTTGTTCAAAAAAAAATTTTTTTTAGGAGAATGAATAAAATAAAGATAGCTCCGTCTTTAGAAAATAGATATTTAATAACAATAAATAATATTATTTATAGTATTAATACTATACTCATCATTATTAGTGAATAATTCTTTATCAGAGGAAAAAGTATTATATATATATGTATGTATATATAACAAGATAGGTTTGCTAAATTCGGTGGATATGAAAATTTAGTGTCATAGACTCAGTGTGTACCGTATATGATGATAACGATAGGAATTTTTGACATTATATGTAGTTATCTTCAAGATTTTGTTCATACAATCAAACTCATATTTAATAGTAATTGATCGTTTTTTTAATTAACATTTGTAGTCGTATAATAATTGTGTTATTTGATGCATACTTCAAATTATACTATAGCAGAAAGTGGATGAAATTAATTCAATATTTTTTAAGTAAAATAATAGTATTTCAAAAAAAATTAATTTTTTAATCAATCAATTGATTGATCAATGTTAGTAAATTTGCAACCTAATGCTGGCCGAAATTAATCATAGTGCGGGCAAAGTTTACTATTAGTAATACAAATTTTCTTGAATCCTATGATTAAGAACATGATCAATTATGTGATAATTAATATTTTTTGGCCAATTAATTTCACTAGTCAATATTTGAGAATTAACCATCGGATTCAATATCAATAGGCAAAAGTAGCAATAGAATCAAAAATGAACTTATAGTTATTTATTATATGACGAAATAAAATGATCCCAGATTTAAATTATTAACTAAACGTCCTGCATACCCTCTTCTTAGAAGAAAAACTTTATTAAAATTAACCAATTTCAACTGCTGTAAAATAAAAGGTTAAAAGTATTAATTTTAATTTGTATTAATGGTTTTATATTTGTTTATATTATTTTTTATTATTATCACTATATCCATATTTTTGATGGATGGAAAATTGTTTCTTAAAGCTTCTCATGATTTATTTTCGTAATTACAGTCAGAATTTGATGTAATGTCTATGCAATACAATGAATTTCACGATAAGGTCAACCTTATTTATAGAAAGAAAATCTTTTGAAAATATAAATGTAACGGATCTTTATAGATAGAATCAATACAATAATCTTGTACTTGTTTCTTGCAACCAGGCAGGAAGATTAAATACAGCAAGAAGAACAATTTATCAATCCTGTTATTTTGTTCTTAAATAATCATTTGGTCACGTTCAAGATTATTTAATTGAAGTAGTAATCAATTCACCAGAATAAATATACTTTAAAATAACTGACATATTTTTTTTTTATTTAAAATAATTTAAATAAATAATGCTTATATTAAATCATTTTAATTATTCACTTTAAATCATTTCAAAAATAATTGGGAAAACTTTTGATAACTGAATGTGTTCAAAATCCCTTAATATTTTAATTTGAATAATAACATTATAGTTGTCGTCATTATTTAATATATTAAGGAAAAGTCCTTTGAAAGATTGGAATGACTAATAGTTATTCATTCAGCATAAACTGTACACTAATTTTTTTTCTTTTAAAAAATGCAATTAGGTTTGATGCATCCCCTGTAAAAAATCTGATCCGTGTTTTATCTTTCCATATTTTTTCCGTGAATGTATCATTTTAATGGAATTTATAGCCTTAAATCATGGAAATTTTCATCTCGCTAACACGGATATCCGTGAATGTATCATTTTCACGGAATTTTTACGGAAGACACGGAGAAATAATGGAAATATTCGGATAAAAATTTTTTATAGGGATCGTTAATATTAGTTTCTAATGTTAAAAGTAATTCCGAACTTCCAATTTATCAAAACAAAAAAAAAAAAACGTTAATTTGTTAGCAAAAAAAAATCCAATTAAAATTTCATTAACCGGAACTGTGTTAGCGATGATTGTGATATAACTTAATCTGTACTACCAAAATACATGATAACTCGAATTTAAATCAGCCCATACGCGAAGTTACACACGAATTTTTTAGTTATACAGATTTGTATCAACAAAATTTATAAGCTAAATATGTATATTGCACAGATTTTTCGTCATCGGTATTGAAGTTTTTAATATTTAATGGTACGACATGGGGTTTAGGAATATCAGAGTTTTTTTCCCGAAGGGAAAAAAAACCATGGTATTCCGCCCCCATGAAATTAAAAATTTTATTTCATTAGGCTTAAAAATTAACATACGTAACCTGACTACATAATGAAAGTTTATTTAGGTTATTATTGTATAATCATTATTGTCCGCATGAATTTTTTTTTAATTGATTATCTCCAAATTCCCCAGCTATTTATAATAATAAGATAATCGATTTTTTTTAATATTGAATTCCGTCCACTGCATTTTCCTGGAGGTGTACAGCACAAAATTTTCCTTTCATAACGCTGGGTGGAAATCATAATTAATTTAGGAAGTTTCACAGATTTTTAGGGTGATAGGACAACGGTTAATGCAGGATTTTTATCACTCCCGCTTCTAAAAATAGATCTATTTTGTCATCACCTTCATACCCCTCCGCATTTCTGTAATCCATAAGTATCTGAGTGACTTAGTTTTTTCAGTTAATCAAAATTCTATTTGTCACATAATTAGTCGTCAACACATTTTTCCACGATCACGCGTGAGGGTCGAATTTTATGTCGATTTGTTTGACTGTTCGATATACCATCACCTGTCACAAGCAACGGGTAATAGGAGCTTGAATGATCTTTTTAACATTTAACGAATGCCATAAATAATTACAATAATAATAATAACAATGAATAATGTAAAAAATAAACAATGTTTAAAACGAAATGTATACAATTTCATTGATAATAGGAAGGGTAGCAATTTATGCATTTTTGTTGATTCACAATTATTTTATAAATAATATACTACGTATATAAAATTATTTGTATTTTATTATTAAGTCCATAAAATTTATTTATTATTAGTAAAGGTATGGAGAAGTAAAAAGATTTAAATCTTCGTAAATAAATTATAGGTTCGAGTATTACGTGTATAGGAAATAATAAAATAGAAAAATAATTTTCTACAGTAACTTAATTTATTAATTTTGATTCTGATTCATTTATATATATATATATTTTGAGAAAAAAATCAATGAAATCATTGAAAAAAATCTTACACTTATTTATCCTGAGAAAAAAAATCCTCTTTGTTGCATTTCTTTCTGCTAAAATTCCATGACAAAAGTGAGACGAAGAGGTCCTATGAGTATAATCGAAGGTCTACACACACCATGGGTCCCCTAGAAATGTTAGCTACTGTATGGTCAGTAAAACTGAGTACATCATCAATATCACAAGTGTTTTTAACGTCTGCAATGCCTACAAGGTCTCAAACCTACATGGTAGACAAGGTGAAATGAAGGTACAAGGTCGTAGACCTACATGGTACCATGATAAACACGTAAAGATACAAATGATAAGACTACCTCCAACGCAAACGCCGCTGGTTGCCGCTTCGTAAATACGCCAAAGAGGTGACCTTCAATGCAAACGCCGCTGGTTGCCGCTACGTAAATACACCAAAGATGTGTCATACGTACCTTGTATTTGACATTGGTCCCTTTCCCCTGACCTTCTAATAGACTCTCTAAGATCAAACTGTGTCTTCTAACCATTTTTACTTAAAAATAAAGTTACGCAATTAAGCCCCTGCCTAGGTATACCACTAAAGGTAGTAGTAGGCTTTAACGTTTAATTTCAAGAGCGCTGAAAGTGATCATCTCATAAAATTTAAATCTTTCAGATTTCATTTTCTCCCAGTTAGGTCGGAGACAACGTTATTATCCATAAAAGCCTTTTGTATGGACCGTCCGGTCATTTTGTTTTTTTTTGTTAGGGGAGTTTAGAACTCGGAAACAACATTATTACATATTGTACAGACCGTCCTGTCTGAGAAGAAAGACCGAAAAATAGAGAACGAAAAATAGAGTCATCTTTTTTTTTTGTTAGGTGAGTTTAGAACTCGGAAACAATATTATTACATATTGTTCAGACCGTTCTGTCTGAGAAGAAAGACCGAAAAAAATAGAGAACGAAAAATAAAGTCATTTTTTTTTTTGTAAGGGGAGTTTAGAACTCGGAAACAATATTATTATTAGCCTTTTGTTCATATTGTTCGTCTGTTAGAGTTTTTTTGTTAGGAGAGTTTTTTATTAGGTAGTGGCTTTTTTTTGTTAGGAAAGTGCCCCTTTTTATATTATTTTCTTATCACATGATATAAGTCTACAATGACATCAATATTTATAATCTATTGTGAATGAATATTGTTACTATATCAACTATGACTATTACTGTATATGAGTCATATTTACTACCTCCGAACTAATTAAATTGGAGTATATAGTAAATTAAATAGTACAAATTTTTCTGTACTCGGACGGACCTTTAAAAATAAATGTTTATTTCCCATACTAATAATCGCAAATCAATATAGATTTTTCAGTAAAAAAATTTTTAGATGGCTCGATGGCTCAATGACACATGAGATCATGCATAACGCGCTTTTATACATGAGACGCGATTTATATATTAGAAATATAACAAATGTTTAGTTTATTAATCAAATTTGCAATAAAAAAAAATCGGTCAGCATTTTTTTGACTAGTTTCTTTTCAACCAAATAGATGATTCCCTTTTTAAATCCTTCAAAGTTATTTTTTTTTTATTATTACTCTATCTCTCTTCCATTAATTTTGCTTTTCATTTCTCTTGGGCAGTAATTAATTTCCGTTATCATATTTAACTCGAAAAGTTCCTTAAATGTTGCTTTAACTGTACCCTGGGTTTGAAATAATCGGTTCTGTAAATCAGCCATAGGTGTACGAAAAATTCAAAGTTGTACGAAATAGTTTGTACAAAAATATTTTAAAATTTTCGTACGTAGTAAATACTGATTGTATGTGACGTAAATTTTAAAATTTTAAGTGAATTTCTAAATTCACACCGTAATAATAGATATACGATCACTATCATTTTGTAGAGAAGAGAATATGTTTTTTTGGTAGTATTAATCAGATCGTTAAAATAATAGTTGAATTCAACTGATATTTGTTATATTCAGTTGGCATCCTTTTATTTCTACAAGCTTTCATGTACTTATAACCTTTAGCTCCATAATAACATGTAAATTATTTCACGAAAAGAAAGCTTGCTTAATACACAGTGTGTTCAAAAATCACACGTCTAATCTTGTAGCTTGCTATGTATATGGTGGTCAAATATAAACATATCAATTACACGAAAAATTACTCCTTATGACATATGTATAGTTTTGTCATGAGTATATAGTTTAAATAATATGTTTCTTTTTTTAGGTCTGTTTTCTCTCTGTCTTTATTCTTAGGCCCTTTTCTTTATGCCTTCCTTTAGATAGGTATGTGGATTGTTGTAGGTTTATGTGTGGGTGGTGTGTATGTTTGTTTATTTCCTTGCTCTTTCCCTCCCCTCTCTGATCATTTTTCTCTTTCCCTTTCGTTTTACTTTTCCTTCAGTTTCCCCTTCCTTTCGTTTTCCCTTTCCCTTTCGTTATCCTATTCTCTTTCGCTATCCCCTTCCCTTTCTTTTCCCCTTTCCCTTTCTTTCCCCTTTCACTTTCGTTTCTCCTTTTCCCCTTCCCTTTCGTTTCCCCTTTCATTTTTTCTTTCCTTTCATTTTCCCCTTCCCCCGATCAATGTTGCTGCACCTCAACGTGGTGATCAGGTTACAAGTTTTTTTAAAAGACTAGCAAAAATAATAATTACATATTACATAAGTCATTAAATCGATTTATTCATTTATTAATTTATTAAATTAATTAATATAAACATAATTATATAAATAATTTGATACATCTAATTTTTTTTAAGACTATTTAATTTTGAATTATTGTGCAAAGTTTTTCCATAATAACATTCTTTGGACTAGCACGTTGAAGAAATTTTTTAAAATTCAAATTTAAACAATGATTTTCTATATGTTTTAAAAAATCCTTTCAATCATATTCCTTTTTTTTTTTTTGTAACCTTGATAATTATTTGATATTATCTTTACGTAATTTTGCGTTGTTATTTTTCATAATAAATTTTTTTTGTTTAATGTTGTAATAAAAAAAATCCTGAGTAAATAAAATAAATACGATGGATTTTAACGGTTACTGTTTTCCTAGTGTTCAACCGTGATCTGTATTATCAAAAAATGATTAAGTACAATACGTCATACATCAAACAAGTCGCACGTCCGAAATGTAATGTGTGACAGGTTACGCCGAATATATTAGCTTATAAGTACGTGGCAAACTTGAATTTTTTAAATAAAATTTCCAAATAAATTTTTGTATTTTTTAACATGTTTTTTCGTTTTTTTTAATAAAGTAAATAGTACTTTTTTTTGTATTTTTTTATTTTTTATACTTTAACGAAACATATTCGATTTAAATTGCTTTGTATGCTCGTATTATTATAAATAAATAAACAAAATTATTTTAAAATAAAAAAAAAATTCTCTATTTACAAATATTTACAAATTTTTTTATTGAATTTAACAATTAAGAAAAAGTAAAATCAAATGAAAGTAACAAAATCAAATGTTATATACATAAATGCTTCAGTATGCTTGCGTCCTCGCAAAAATTATAACTTTCAATATGCTGAAACTTTGTTCAACATAGTTGTTTGTATTGTTTCCGCGTATAGGTAACAAGAAAAAGAGGAATATAATAATAATAATAATATCAACACAAAAGATATTGTTATTAACGTCATTTGGCGGATCACGTAACCTGTCACACGTTTCGGATGTGAACACAAGTCAGCGATTATTACTAATTTTATCCAGTTCTCTGGAATGCCAATCACCCCGTATTGCAGTATTACAAAAATAATGTACAACCATATGACTTTAAAATTGGGCTTATAATAACTAGCTTTACTACGATACTCCATAAAAACTTCCTTTCCTTTCTTTATTTCTAAAATGACTTTACCTTATTTAACAGATGATTGTATTCATTACATTTTACAATTCCTTCAAAATGATTTTTCAACTTTACGTAAATGTTTATTAGTTAATCGGTTTTGGTGTAAATCAACAATTCCTTTGCTTTATGCAAATCCTTTTGCAAAAACAAAATCACCGCATAAAAATTATAAATTAATCATAACTTTAGTTTCTTGCTTTGATAAAGCAGAAATTTTACAATTTAAAGAACGATTAAGCAAGTTTGTTATTATTTATATTGATGATATTAAAGAAGATTACAAACCACTATTTGAATATCCAAAATATTTAAAAGATTATAATTATTTTAAAATAAATTACAGTATTAATAGCTTTGTAAGATATTGTTCAGATTCATTAATTTCAAATAGTAAAATATATGAAGCTGTTATTCCAATATTTCATCGATCGCTTTTACGTCAAAGTAGAAACATTAAACATTTAGATATTTTCTTACATTTATTTAATAATGAAAGTTTTGAAAACTTTAATGTTCAAAATTTTATTACAAATTTAACAAAATTAAAATCACTAAGTTTTTGTTTAGATATCAATAACAAAAAATTTGAACAAGAATTTTTAATAAATATACCAAATAATTTGAAGCAATTGATAATTAATCTTCCTCGAAATTCAACAAGAACATATCAACGTTCCACTCCCAACAATTTAGTCAATACAACTACTTGGGAAAGGCTTTGCAAAACTATTCAAGAGCAAAACAAACTCGAAATATTTAAGATAAACAGTTTTTATACTTTATCAAATAATGTTCTTTTGTCCTTAGAATTTCAAAAGCATTCTTTAGTTCATATTGAATTTATAAATGCTAGCTTTATTAATGTTGATTTAAAGGATTTCAATAATTTATATAATTTAGAATATTTAAAATTTGAATTTTGTACAGGTATATTATCAAATAAATTTGAGATTTTAAAGTTTGCTTCATTTAAGCTCAAGGAATTATCAATTATACGTAATAAATGGAATGCTGATGCCACACCTTCAATGATCGAATTTTTTGGTGAATCATTACAAAGATTATTTGTTGAACCCCCTACAATTCATCTTATTGAAAATATATCGATGTATTGTCCAAATCTTATTTATTTAAAATTAAGAATTTATTCACGTAATAATTTATCAATATTAGCATCTTTTAAAAATTTAAAAACAAAAATGTTAAGTATTACTACTTGTCATGACATTGATAAATTTTTTATAAATTTAGCAAATAATATACCTATTAATGTTAGCAAAATTTCCATTCATACTCGTCCTTTAAATAAGTTTTTAAAATTTAAGGAATTTTTAGAAAATTGTCATAATAGTTTTGAAATGATTAATTTAAATCATATTATTAAATTAAAATATCTTAAAATTGTTTTAAATTATATTGAAAGAAGCAACAATAGTTTGAAAATTCTTGGTATGAAGAAATTGGAAAAAGAATTAAATGATGAGGAATTAAATTTATTGAATCAAATTAAAGCTAAAGGAGTTAAAATAGTGGAATTTAATAGTATTCATAAAGGTGAATATGATATTTTATAAACTAATGGTTTATTATAAATAGCTTTAGGGTTTATTTTATTTTATTTACTATTTTTTATTTTATTTTATTTATTTTATTATTTATTATTATGCATTATGTTTTATGTTTTTACTTTATATTATTATGTTGTATTTTTTTTTGAAATAAAAATCTTTTATAAAAATGTAAGTTTATATTAGGATATCCCAATTTTAAGTTTATTGGTTCAATCTGGATAAATACCAATCAGTTTAACCAATCATTTGGCTGGATAATTTATCCAGATAATTAATTGATTTTAACAATTTAGATTTATGCAAAGAATTCATTAATATATGTGCTTTTTTTTAATTATTATCTTTTTTAAAATTGTGGATTTGCAGACTCAGTGCATATGAACCGAATCAGCTGATCATTTTCGTTCAAACCAAAGAAAGGTCATTCTAATAAATAAGTATTTTTATTATTAATTAAAAAGACAATTTTCACTTTGCTGAAATAATGAAACACATTTTTTATGCCACTACAGTAAAAAAAAATGTATTTTTTTTTATCCATCTATTGGCTCTAGAAATATAAAATTAATATCATTTAATATGTCTAATGGGTTTTATAGTTATTACATGAAAAAGTATTTTTAAATTTCTAGAAAATTCTAGAAATATCATTAGTTGTGTTTTAACAAGAGAATTCTAACAAACTAAATTTTATCTTTTTATGATTTTTATGATTACCGGATCTTGAAATATCTTGAAAAATAAAAATTCAAAATTTTAAATTTAGATTTTTTTTTACAATTTAAGAGATCAATAAAATACTTCATAACTAAAATAATAATAATAAATAAATAATGAGTATATTGAGTATGTGAATAAATAAATAATAGTATTGAAAAATATAAATATATACTGTATAATGTGAAAACATACATGTTTAAAGATTCTTTAGGATCCTTCAGGTATCTGTTAAAAAATCTCAATCCAAATATCTGCTGAGATGAGAAAGAACCATACAAATCCTCACTAAAAACATTCAAGAAAATATTAACAATCAACAAGTACAATTGAATAAAATTGGCAAATGTTATTATAATGATGATAAATAAACATGGCTTTCATCTGAAATTCCAATAATAGGATTAACAAGAGAACATTTATTTATCCAATAATAAAGAAGCTATTATAAATAAATTACAAGTGAGCATGCTTCTGATATGTGCAAGGAAATGAAAGTGATGTTTATGCAAAGTCAAAGCCCTGGTTTAGATGCATTTGCCAAATTCTATTATCTAAACAAGGAAAAAATAGTGAAACTATCAAAATTATAAAATTATATGATTTAGAACATATGGTACAACATCATTCCCACTTTAATAATGATCTTAGTTTTTAGTTTATACTGATAGGTATATCAAAATTAATAAATAAGTATTTTGTTGTAAGTAAATATCAAAAATAACTAGTAATTAATTTGAAATGTATTTTTTTAGTATTGAAAGTAAAAATGTAATATCATTATATCTTACTATATATTACTGATAATTTTTTCAAAGATATTTTTGAAACCTCAATAATCATTAACCTCTTAAAGAAGTTTTTAAAAGAAGCATTTTTGTACATTTAAAATATGAAGTATCTTGTTTGAACAACTTAAAATGGGAATAATCATCATATTTTACAACAAGTAAAGGAATTGGGTTATTTAACTAATGGTTTGATAATTCTGAATCCAACTCAAAAGAATGTTTCTAATCAAGTTAACATGTCAACAGCAATTCAAAGGTGGCATATATATAAATTACACAGAATCACAAATAATAAGATATTTTATTTTTTTGATATTAGCAGTATAAAGAAGGGTAACATGCTTAGTGTAATGCTTATTTTTATTTATATTGTTAAATATATATATATAATGAATTTAATATGTTTAGCATAATACTTTTGCAATATATTTGGTTTATACTAATAAATATGTTAATATAAAGAATAAAAAAGTAATTATGTAATACTTGACAATTATGATATATTATATCAATGTTGCGCTTTCAATATAAAATTTATGTTAACATATATGGGGTATATATTTATATTATCTAATTATATGTATGGTATAATGATTATAAAATAATGTCAAAAAAATTGGGCTTGATAAATAGTAATAAAATGTATCTATAATATTGTAGTAACTTAAAAGTTTTCAGCATTTAGAAAATATAAACATATTAATAGGACTATATCAACAGATCTTGCTTATGTATTTCTTCAACATATTTGGATGAATGGTAGGTCTTATCTCCCATGAGCCATATCCATATGAAAGGAACTTCCCATAACAATTTGCTACTTCTTGCTTTTTTTTCCAATCCGCAATAATTTTTAAAGGACTAGCACTTGTGTTAATTGTTGGCAAATTCCTCTTTCTATAAGTTATGAAAATTATCTCTCGTTTTTGAGAATAATGATCCTCTCAATGAATGTACTTGATTTATTAACAACTTTAATAAAGAGAAAGTTACCATTGTTTCATTTTTGATTGAACACATATATTGCTAATATTCCATCTGTAATCAATGGTATTTTCAGTTCTTCACCAGTATGTAACTTTATACTTCCTTAAGTGCCATTATTTGTACTAAATTTTATTTAGTCTTTTAATATATAGTTAATCAACTTAAAAAATGGCAGCAAATAACATTGCCACAATCATGAATATGTTATACAGTATTTGAAAGAACAGCTTCTATATATTCATATTACATTGATGGCAATTTCATAAAGTCATCTTTGGAAATACCACCTTCTATATAACAATTTTTAGAAATATTTTTATGAGACTGATTTTTATATAAAGGCAACAATCCAGAATATACCTTTTCTATTTTCCTCTTGATAATTTTGTTTATTACTCTAGTAAAAATCAATTAGCAAAATGATAATACTAGTATCCAAACTTAACAATTATAGCAGAAAATTGCATCTACTTTTTCTTAATTCCTCTCTAAATCTGAAAACTCTTGCTCTTTTGAAATCTTATTACTGCATTGTTGCATTGTTGTTAATCCAAAATGGTATAGAAGCACCTGATAAATATCACATGAAAAAATTTAGTGTGGTGGTATTGACCCTGCTCATATTGAGAAGGAGTAACTGTGAAGTAATTATCTATACTTTGTTATTTTGTTTGAGAGGGTTTGTTTGATCTGTCCATCAATAAAGTATTAAATACAAAATAATTAGTCCCACTGATTCTCAACTTCTAGCTAATAAAAAAAATGCAAGAATCTCCTTTCTTTTTTTATGTTATTTTCACATTTTTTTGAGTTATTTTGACATCTGCTCTTCAGCTTGCCCAATTTCTTGTAAAGTAATAATTTTAATAGCATGCTAACAATAAAAAAAAATCATAAACACCATATAATCATGTTAAACATATTAATAAGATCAAAAAATAATAATTTACATACTTTATTATATACTCAATCTGAAATGGCAAGTGATTTTAATTTGTAAAATGCTCTTTCATTAATGAAGTATTTGTGAAATCTTTATCAGAGTATTTGGTGAAAATATAAAAGAAAAGTTAGACCAAGACTTTTCATATGATCTTATTATGAAAAATATATGAGATATATTTTGCCAAAGAAGAAATCATAGATAGCTTGATTAATAGCTACTTAGTCAGACTATAATATACTTCTTATTTCAGGCAACAATATGAGTTAACTTGTGTAAAAAATTACTTAGAACAAGACTATAGGGTCATAACACTCATAAGATAATAATATCAATAGTTCTACCAAAGCAGATTACAATGGGACCTATAATTCTAGACCATAATATATTTTCTTTCAGGCAACAACTTATGTTGATTTGTGCAACAAATTGCTTAGTATTAATGACTGCAGAGCATGATATATAATGTGTACATATAATAAACATAGTAAGAAAGACACTAACCTCCAAAGTCTTCTTGCAAAGCTGCTGCCTGAGAACTGCTATTTGGCAGGCTCTTAAAGAGGATATTAAATTCAATTTTTAGATTTCAATGTGCTTTATCTCTAGTGCAACCAGGAGTTATCCTTAAATAGCTGTGTAACTATTATGTTGAAATGATTTTATATAGAAAAATTGTACTTCAGTTTATCTCCTGCTTAACAAATGTCAGAAGAAAAAATCATTTATTATGTCATTATATCAGATATTCAGAGAAGAATGACGATAAACACATTTCTAGGGATGGCAACGATCACGGTCGGTCAGGTGGTCAGTCAAAATGGTCAACGGCCAGGAAATGGACGGTTAATGGTCATGGTCTCATGGACGGTTAATAACTATGACTGCTGCTATCCCTATACATTTCTAGTTGTGGTAATAAAAAAATTTCAGAACAAATAAGGTAAGTAATTTTATATAATAAGAATTTATTAAATAATTCCTTTACATACATTAAAAATTAATTATTTTAAAAATTTATTTTACATCCAAAGCTTTTTTTCTATTTCTAAAAATTTCTAATTTCAACTGAATAATATCATTGTTTAACTAATCTACAGTATTAATCATTCATACTAAATTCACATGCTTGTAATTGATCTCTCACAATAAAACAAAGCGGAAATTTTAACTTGTGGTTATAATCCCTACTCACCTACTGATCCCTCTAACTGCTAATTGGCATGATTGACATTAATCAACGTGACAACTTGTGATTTGTGTAATTGGCTAAATGATTTACCGTTCACCGAAATAAAATACCTATTCGGGTATTTTCAAACAATTCCTTTGCAGAAACAACTTTTTTATTGAATTGTTTTAAAAAATGACTAATTATTATTGGATTATTGCACGACATTCTCAATTGGCTCTCGAAGTTGAAGGTGGGAATATTTCAAATGGTGCCAAAATCGTCCAATTTACTAAAAAATCCGAGCTTGACCCTACCGTAAAGTGTTACATTTAATATTCTAATAAATAAATGTGGTACTACTTTATTTTATTAATGTATTCTATTTCTCTCTATTCTATTAGGTTGATACACAACTCTGGTATTTTAATGGCGGATATATTACCAACAAAAGGTCTGGTCTCGTGCTTTCTATCGCCGAAAGTAAGAAACAATATGAATGAATTATTGAAAATCAAATATTATAATTTCTAAATTCTTTTTTTTTTTTTACTAATCAAGTGAAAATCGGAGATTGTGAGTAATATGTTTAGTAAAATTTAATATGTTTAATTCACGTATTCCACAATTTATTTTTTTCAATTTTTATATAAAGGTGCGCAAATTATTCAACATGAAAAATACGTACCTTCTACCGCTCAAGAATGGGATTATGACTACAAGGACAATACTATCAGTTTGAAATCTAATCGAAAATTCGTCCTTGATGTTACAGTAAATATTCTATTGAAATTATTTTATTTGAAATATTAGAAATTGTGACAATACTAATTTTTAATTCATTTTCCTAATACTTGTATTTTTATTTATAGGGAGGAAAATGCGATAACCATACCCCTATCATCTTGTGTTACAAGCATGGTGGTGGGAATCAACAATTCATTTTAGAAAAGTGGAATGATGTTTCACTTGTTGAAAATATAGTAGAGTGCATTATTGATAATTGTAAATTTTTACCAAAATTATCACAAAATTTCCTTGAAATTTTGAATGATGACGAGTATTATGATATTAATATTGAAGTTGGTAATGATCCCCATGTGAAAATATTTCACGCTCATATGGCAATTTTAAATTATCGTTCTTCTTACCTACGAAGAATTTTTTCAGCTAACAAAAAGAAAAATGATGGAACTTTGATGCATATTAAACTACCTAATATTTTACCTGATATTTTTGAAATAATTTTAAGGTAAAAATTAGTCGAAATAAATTAAAAATTTTTTTATTAATATACCTTCATCTCAAAAGTTGTTTCTATTTTAGATACATTTATAGCGGAAGGCTCTCTTTAAAAGAGTGTGATTCTTCAGATATAATTAAATTACTAGTTGCTGCTAATGAACTAAATCTTCAGGAATTAATCACCTATATACAATCCTTTTTAATTGAAAACAAAACAAACTGGATAGAACAAAATTTTAATTTGATATATCGAACAAGCTTTGAAAATGATTCTTTCTTGGATCTTCAAAAATATTGTAATAATTTAATATCTAATGAACCTGATAAGATATTCAAATCGCAACATTTCATATCGATTCCGGAAAAGCTTTTGACTTCAGTTATTCAGTCTGATAATCTTCAAATGAGTGAAATTCGAATTTGGGAATATGTACTTAAATGGGGAATTTCTCAAAATCCAGAACTTCCATCTGACCTTATGAACTATTCAAAGGAAGATTTCAATACTTTAAAGAATACCTTACATCAATGCATCCCATTTATTAGATTCTATAATTTAACTTCTAAAGAATTTGCGGATAAAGTATTTCCTTATAAAAGAGTTTTGCCAAAAGAATTACGTAAAGGATTATTATTGAGTTATTTGGATCCTGATAACAAGAAAGGTGAATCAAACCCTCGTACATTTAGAATTGTAGCTTCAAGTGATATTGATTCTAATATTATTACATATCAACATGCTAAAATAATATCAGAATGGATTGATAGATTAGAAATTAATGAAGAGTTAGATTCTCCATATGAATTTAAATTATTGTTCCGCGGATCTCGTGATGGATTTTCTCCTTATAAATTTCATGAAATTTGTGATCTTCAATCTCACACCGTAATAATCGCTAAGGTGAAAGGCAATAACGAAATTATTGGAGGATATAATCCAATTGAGTGGAAATCCGCTGATAGATACAGTTATACTAAAGATAGTTTTATATTTTCTTTTAATAATAAAGATAGAAATGATAATTATGTTTTAAGTCGTATAAATGATAATCAATATGCTATAAACAATAGATCTTATTATGGACCGTCATTTGGTAACGGTGATCTTATTATATGGGGATTGGATATTAGTACATTTTGTAATTATTGTCACGTTCGTAAAAATTCTTATGAAAGATCTATTAGAGAAACTGAAGATAGATTTTCTATTGAAGAATGTGAAATATTTCAAGTGATGAAAATTTATTAATGAATTTCTTATTTGTAAAATTTCAAACTTTAACTGCTAAGTAAATAAATTTTCACCTGTGTACTCTTCAATAATTTATATATTTATTAAAATTAGAACTAATCCAACCAAATCTTAAATTGTTATAAAAGGGTAGCAATGTACTTACAAAATCAGTGATAAAGTTTAAATTATTCCAAAGTTTACTTATTATGAACATTATTATTTATCTATTGAAGTTGGTAATGACCCACTTGCAAATTTATTTCATGCTCATGTAGTTCTATCTGTGAAAGATTTTGTCAACTATAAAAGGAAAAATGATGAACTTTGACACATCAAATAGCTTACCTGAAATTTTTTAATTCACAATTTTTACAATTTTTTTTACTTCTGGGTATATATGGTATAAGACTTTTATTTAAATAACATGCTACTTCAGAAATGATAACATAAATATAAAGTGTTTAAATTTTTATTGAAAAAATATTATTAATATTATAATTATAAGTTCTAGTTTGCTTTATTACTTAATGCAATTGTTGTAAAAAGAATGATGTAGTCATAATGATTCTTTGTGTTTGTAATTTTAACGGTTGAATAACTAACTAAGCTGAAATTAAAATAAATTTCCTGATTAGGCCATAATTATTCGATTTTAATTCCGGCCATGTTTTTTACCTATCAGTCACCGCGTATGTAACATGTAGATCAATTTTATAATAATACAATTTTGTGTAACCATAATTGAATTACATCATTTAACAATTAATCATCAATTATAATATACAACACCATACCAAATAAAGTAATTTAATAGATTATCATGTGCTCTATCAGTTTCTTAAATTAGTTTTTCGTTTTACTAATAATTTTTTTTTTCTTACATATACATGTAGTTTATTTTAAAAAACACACTTTTTTTGAGATCCTTTTAAAGGTAAGAAGAAAAATGTAGTTTTAACAACATAAATATATGTAATTTTGCGAGAAAAGAAAGTTTTTCTAAGCTTCCAATATTGGTTATTCAAACAGATTTTGCATAAACTTTAAAAAATCAAAATTTTATATTATTTCTTAAGTACGCAAATTTTTTTAAAGTAGTAGTTTTAGCAATTTTGACATAAACATATCACCTTTATATATTAAGTAAAAATTGTTCAGCGATATCAAAACTACTTGCAACTCAATTTTCATTAAATTTCATTTAATAGTTTGTTAAGTTATTTGTATTTTTATAACAANCTGTCTCTTATACACATCTAGATGTGTATAAGAGACAGTATTTAGGCACTTTATTCATAAGCAAATCGCCTTTGTTTATTAAGTGAAAATTGTTCAGCGAGGTCGAAACTACTTGAATTTCAATTTATACGAAATGTTAGCCAATATTTATGAAGCTACTGATGTTATTCATAACACAATTAATTTCAATTTTTTGCACACAATCAGTTACTTCAGAACGTAATTTAGACACTTTGGTCATAAGATAATCACCTTCGTGTATTAAGTGATAATTGTTCAATGAGGTCGATTCCATATGTATTTCAATTTTCATAAGTTTTTAATCAGTACTTATGGAAATATTAACGTTCATTTATTATCTATTCATTTAATACATTCAGAGCGTAATTTAGGTACTTTGGTTATAAGAGAATCGCCTTTGTGTATTAAGTGAGAATTGTTCAGTGGGGTCGAAACTAATTGTATATTGAATTTTGTTAATTTTCGTTTGATATTCGTGAAGCTATTGATGTTTTACGTAATGGTATAGATTTTCGAAACTTTATTTTCTTTTATTTGTAATATAAAAAAACATTAATTTCAAATGAAGATCCAACTTGAAAACTCAGTTTGAGTAATGAATTTTTTTTTAATAAATCTGTAGAAATGATCAATAAGTTTATTTTGCTTTTTAAATTAAAGTGTTATATTATATAAATATAATGTTACATTTGACATGTATTTTTCTAAATTTAATTAAATTTAGGCCGGAATTATGTATTTGGCCAGAATTAAGAAAATTTTGGCCGGAATTACAATTTAAAAATCATCAATTTTAACCAATTAAAATTAATTTAACCGATTTTAATATATATATATATACTATATATTCAATAAGTAAGCTGTGCCACAATTTTTATTATATCAATCATAATAACAAAAATTAGGGTGTTACATGCGCACTGGTTGCTATTCTCAATTTCGGCAATTTTAGTATCATGAGTTCATGACTCATAATCTTATGCTATAAGTAAATTCGAATCTGAAACCATTAAAGATTGGCAAAATCTTATACTCTTTATTTTGAAATTGATAATAGTGGCTGAGAATAAATTTTTACCAAAATTATCTCAAAATTTACTCGAAATTTTGCACGTCTGAAATGTGTGTCAGGTTGACGGCGCAGTGTGGCGCAGCGATTTTTTCCAAAAAAATTAAATTGCAATTTTTTTTATTTAAAATAGAACCTTTAAGTTACTACACTAGATGTATTTTTGTCCGCTCTGCAAATTTACTTAGAGAATATACGGGTGGTTTAGAAGGCCATTTTCGAGTTATTTAACAAAAACTGTTTTTTCGACAAATCCAATTTTGGAAATGATCGGCAAAGACGATAAAATCAGTTGTTATATACTAAAGTCAAAATCTACTTCCAAAACCTCCTTCCATTTATAAGTGAATTTTGTAAAACAGATGAAAATACATTTAGTGTGTAAATTTGAAAATATTACATTAAAAAGAAAATCTTTAACTTATTTTTTTTTGAAATTACTGCGCCACACTGCGCCGTCAACCTGACACACATTTCAGACGTGCCGAAATTTTAGATGATGATGAATATTATGACATTACAATTGAAGTTGGTAATGACCCGAACGTAAAAATATTTCGCGCTCATATGGTCATTTTAAATTATCGTTCTCCTCATTTGCGAAGAATTTTATCAACTAATAAAAAGAAAAATGATGGAACTTTAGCACATATTAAATTACCAAATATTTTACCTGATATTTTTCAAATAATTATAAGGTAAGAAGATATCAAACTAAATTGTCTAAATTGTTATAAAATAAAAATTTTTGTTTTTAATAAACAAATTATTATATCTTAGGTATATTTATGGAGGAAGAATTTCTTTAATAGAATATGATATTTTAGATATTATTAAGATCTTGGTTAAGATCTTGGTTGCCGCTAATGAATTAAGTCTTCAAGAATTAATTTCCCATTTACAATTATTTTTGATTGAAAACAATGAAAACTGGACAGAACAAAATTTTAATCTAATATACCAGATGACCATTGAAAATGATTCCTTTTTGGATCTTCAAAGTTTTGCACAGAGTTAATATTTAAACATCCAGAAAAACGTTTCAGTTCATGTGATTTTACTTCGATTCCAGAAAAAGCTTTAATCTCTCTTATTCAACATGATAATCATGAAATGGGAGAAGTTCAAGTTTGGGAACATATACTTAAATGGGGTATTGCTCAAAATCCTGGACCCTTCATGTTATTCAAATGATGATTTTAAATCCTTGAAAAATACTTTGCAACAATTTATTACTTTTATTAAATTTACTAAATTTACTTCTAAAGAATTCTTGAATAAGGCATAAAGATTATTCCTGAAGAGTTATATGAAGATACGATTAAATACTTTTTGGACAAAAATTCTAAAAACTTAGATTCAATAATTATTACAACTCAACATGCTGAATTAATTTCAAAATGGATTAATAGATTAGAAATTACAGATGAATTAAAAAATTCATATGAATTCAAATTAATTCTTCTTGGATCTCGTGATGGATTTACAGCTAAACGATTTCATGAAATATGTGATAATCAATCTCATACTGTAACAATATTTAAAGTAAAAGATACCAATGAAATTCTTGGAGAATATAACCCGATTGAATGGAAAAATGATTATGGAATTTTCCGCGATTATGGTACTACCAAAGATAGCTTTATTTTCTCTTTTATGAATAAAGAAAGTATTAAAGATCATATTATTAGTCGAGTAAAGGATGAATATTATGCCATATGTTATTGTTACCATTACGGGTCATCATTTATTGGTGATAAAGACCTTACAATATATGGAGGTCATGAAGGTGTAGCTTCTTTTAGAAATAAAAAAAGTTACTGTCAGGAAAATTCTTATGAAAAACAGATCAGAAAGATGGAAGATGATTTTTCTGTAGAAGAATATGAAGTATTTCAGATTATAAATGATAACTAATAAAATGGTTTGTCAAGAATCGTGTATAAAAATATTAAGATTTAGTATCACTCTATAATTCAAAAATATTATATTATGGTATAAACATTTTATTACTTATTACAAAATACGGATTGGATATAACACATGATAATTAAACTTGCAAAGTATGAATTACGATTCTTAAATAAAGATTATATACTAAGTTACAATAAAATATAATACATATAAATTTAAAGAGTATGAACAAATGAAAATTTCTAAATGAAAGGTTCGAATGAATCTACGGACTCAGCTAAATTCACAAATAGCCTTTATTTAGCGGAAAATTGACTATCTTTTTTCTTTAGATCTTTTTTAATCAATATACTGACATGTCGGTCTTAAAGCATAAAACATTGAAATATCCTCTTCTAATTTTAACTACTGGATATTCAAAGTAACGAATGTGTTTGTCTTTTTATTAATTCATTCTTTTGCCGAAAATATGCTATAGTTCTGGAATTATTCATGTTTCCTGTTTTATTAGACAATTGTATTCTCTAATTTTAAGTTTTTAACTATCCAATGAGATTTTTTTTTTAAAAAAAAGTAACTATGGCTACACGATCGATATTTTTATTTTTTGCAATTGATGAATTAAATTTAAATAAAATAGATTAATATTATGTAAACTGTGCATAAAATTTTTAAATAAGAAAAAATTATTAAAATACTCTGTATTAAATATTGCTTTTTTTGTCTGAAGTTGACGAATTAATCCTTCTATTGATTATGCAGCTAAACGTTACTCCCTATCTTTGACCTTCATCACTGTCATCAAAAAGTTTTGATACCCAGTAACTACAGGAGAGGGCTGTTCACTCACGCGGTCTTTTATTTTAGGCAGCTACATACCTTTATCTTTTGATTTACCTTTATTCCACTTCTTGGGTCATTCATACTAAGGTTGAAATTAACTGATATAGGGTTATAATAGCCTAAATTATGACATTATACATCATATGATTTTGGACAAACAAGTACGCAAAAGTTTTAATTCTGGCCGGAATTATAAACTTGGCCAGAGTTACTGTCGATCACTGATTATAAAGTTACATGGGCATCTCCCACTCACCCACTATTTAACACTATTAATTATACACTTATCCATTCTCTCTCGACATGTCAACCTCGTTGAAAAATGACCTACTCTACAGTATATTTGTTTTAATATTCAATCTCAATCATTACTGGACATACCCCTGTAAAAAAAGTTAATCAGATTTTTTATATTCCATATTTATCCATTGAAGATAAAGTACAGGAAATATATAACAACGACTTTTTGAAAAATTTCGCCAGGTAATAATTTATCAGGTGATTTAATTAATTTTGAATTATTTTGATCACAGATCTTTTTTTCTGTAAAATATGGAAAGCCGTCCTTGACAAAAGGTTGATGTCCAAACATCATGAAATATAATATTTAGACATCATGATGGTATGTCTAGACATCATGTTTGATATATGTAGGATGATGTTTGTACATTATTTAACATGATGTGAAAGACATCAACCGACATGATGTCTAGACATCATGCTGATCAAATTGCCAAATATAGTATATTTATGAGTTACACAAAATAAAATTTACTATATTTGGTAACATAATGTCTAAGACATCATGTCGGTTGATGCTTGAGCATCATGTTGAATGATGTACAAACATTATTCTACATATATCAAACATGATGTCTAGACATTATCCAACATGATGTCTGGATATCAACCTTTTGTCAAGGACGGCTTTCCATAGTAAAAGGCTTATATCTCCAGAATTAATAACCTTATATTACGGAATTTATCAAATTACTATTTACATTTTCCGTGAATGGATCCGTGAAAGGCTCATTTTTATGGAGTTTTTACAGAAATGACAGATGTAGGTTGATGACTCCTTACTTTGTAACGAAGACAATACAACAAAAATGGGCATGAACCTTGATATCCCTATCACTTTTAAAGCTGCTATCGCACATTTTGCTTCTACCAAAACAGAAGTTTTTGCATTACCCAAACTCTTCCAGACTTGGCTGCTCACATTGCTTTGAATCCACAGTCTCAAACCCAGACCTATTTTTAGAAACACACGGAGCTGGGAAAAAATTAATAAATTGTAAAGTAAAGATTGTGCAGCTGTAGTCCTAGAAGCTTTAAATATAGAAATTCCTGATAACTTTAAAATGTAAATTTTTTTTTTTATTTAATGGCAATAGGTAACAATTATTCAATTTATTTGATTAATTTTCAAAAATTAATGGTGCGCTGCGTATTACTTTTAATTGATATGTTTTAAATATAATTCTCGATTGTAAAATTAAGTTAATATTGATTCTCTAAATCCATTAAAACATTTATTTGAAATTTGCAGTTCTTTAGAATAAAATAAATAAAATAATCCAATATTATTTTGAATAAAATAATAAATATATCGCTAATGGATGATTATGAGAAATTGAAACAAGATGTAAAATTTTTATTTTGAGTATAAATAACATTAAGGTTCAATTATAAAACTATAAAATGGTATATATATATATATATATATATCATTTTCATAAAAAAATAATTTTACTATATAAATTTTATTAAGATGAAAGACTTTTTTATATTTACGAATAGGTGCGTAATTTCGTTTCATTTCATTAGCCTTCAATTAATACGGTATTTTGTGAGATAAAATATTCGAATTGTTCATCTTTATTTTTTTAAAAACTTGAATAAAATAAATGCATCTGGTATCATATCATTTAGAAAGTAATCAATTTTTTTTATTGCTTTCTCGTGATTTTAAACAAACACTTTTTAATAATCATAATTGGATAAACAGAACTATTTAGTATAATAAGTAATTTTTATAACAGAATATAGTCTTATATATATATTTAATAAATACATTTACATTTATTTAAGATATACATTACAATAAAAAAAATTCAACAATACGTAAAAATTCAATGAATTTAAAGAAAAATATATAAAAAAAAAGTTCAAATAACATTATATTGTTAGAGGTCAGTTCTTATAAGCTTAAAAATAAGCTATACATTAAAAAATGTTTATATTTAATAAAGCAGAAGGTAATTTTAATGATCAACGTATATGTTAAAATCAATCCAATCAGATGTGAATAGAGTATCGCTTCACACTGGCGCATACAATCAGACACAAATAAAGGAAAGCAGATTAACCATATAAAACCAAACTTAAAATTAAGGTGTATATTAAAGGGTAAACATTTTATTAATTAAATTCTTCACACATGTTCTTATTGAATTATCCTAATTACAGGTCTAATTACAGGTCTATATATACATAAAATTCCAAACTAAAAATGTTTAAAATGTTTAATATGTGCCATATATACCATATGTGCAATATATTTAATATATTTGATATATTAAACATTTCGAACATTGATCTTCCCGTTATGTGACGTTGATCATTCATCGGTAATATTAATCGTCCCGGTAATTACCATTGATCAACAGCTATATCACGTGATTTCGTCACATTTTTTTTTTATCGTAACAATATTATATGAGTACTAATTCAATGAATTCAATAAAAAATATGAAGAAAATTTTAATAATACAGATATTAATAAATGATTAAAAAACAATATAAACAATACACGATTAAAAAATTTCAAATAACATTATTTTTTAATACGGGGGCGTGATTTCATGATTAATACGTAAAATGCAGAGTTCGTCAAAAAAGGCTAATTTATTTAGTCTATGTTTCACAATCAATTACGTAATAGGGAGACTAATATTTACGAAATAATAATGAATCCAAATATAATTTATTTGCAATATACAGTTAATAAATGAAATAAATAAATAATAAGTCTACTAATTCAAAATTTACATTTTAATGTCAAATTCATTTGCTTTCGTTTTATAACAATATCCTAAAAAGTAATAAGTTCATTAATATTGACTTTTAATTTGTTATACGAAGATAATTTAACGAAACATACCACAATTAGTATCTTCAATTAGATTATTTTCAATCATTCTTTTTTTTGGATAAAGTGGCTCTAAATAATTTAACAAAAAGTATTAAGTTTAATAGTATAAAAAAACGATTTTAATTAGTAAATCAGGTTTAATTACCTAGTTCTTTTGAACTTGATGTAAATATTTCATTGCTTAATTGTTTACTTTTTGGATTATCTATAGGTGCAATATCTGTCGGTTTTATAATTTCTGTCGGATTACTAACTTCTTCACTTAACATATCACGTAACCTTTCATTTAATATATTAGCAGCTTCTGGTCTTTTAATTGGATCAGAATTCCAGCATTCTTGCATCAGTTCAATATAACCCTTAGGTGCATTAGCTGTTATTGGGGGGAGAAGACCATCATAACATATTTTACTCATAAGTCCAACATCTATAGTTTGATCCTCAAATGGTAATTTACCTGTCATAAGTTCCCACATGATCATACCAAAACTGTAAATATCCGAACATATAGTATATTTTTTTCTTTGCAAAATCTCTGGAGCCATATATGGAATAATACCATATACACTCTCATTATCATTTGTGGATCCCATTGCTGATTTACTAATTCCTAAATCACTTATTACTACATCATCATCATTTTCACAAAGAATATTTCCACTATGCAAATCTCGATGAATAATACCTTTATTATGAAGATGTTTAAGTCCTACGGCAATATTTCTGAGTATTTTTAATTTTTTATTCCATTCAATATTATAAAAGTCTTTACTTTTTGTTATATAATTCTTCAAATCAAATTTATAATATTTCATAATAATAATAAAATCTTTAGTATCGGGATTTTGAGTAATTCCATAATATTCATTTAAATAAAGTGAAGAATTAATGAAATTACTATTTATATCAGCAATATAAATCATTAAAAGCTGAAATTATAAAATTAATGTAAGCTTTCCTTATTATATTAAAAAAATAAATTATTGTTAAAATTAAATAAAATAATCTGCTTACCTCTTTTAACTCTTCAAGTAAAATATTTTCAGAGTTATTAAGCTGTTTTAAAGCAACTATTATATTAGGTTCTTTATATTCAAAATCTTCTTTTTCTTCATTCCAACTATGTGGACCATCAATCCATGTAGCTTTATAAATTTTACTAAATCCTCCTTCTTTAATAAATTCTATGTTTTTAAATCGATCATAGGAAATAAATTTCATTCTGCTAGATTCTTGAATAAAATTAATTTGTGTATATTTGATGAATTCGTCTATAGTTTCATTTCCACTTTGTTTATATAATAATTTTGCTTGATAACAAATTATACAAATTTGTTGATTCTTTTTTGAAGGTCTTCTTTTCATATGGCATTCATTACATTCATTATAATTCACTTCTTCTGATTCAATTATAAATCTTTCCATTGACTTAATTAGTTTTGTCTTTCTACCTAAATCATAATGAATACAAGTATTATTTTCAGTTTTAGAATTATTTTGCGCGGTTTCAATTGCTTTTTGGTACCAATAAAGGGTTTTTTGTAAATTTTTTTCTATTCCTTCTCCATTTTCATACCATTCAGCTAAATGATTCATTGAACATATATTACCATTTTCAGCTGCTTTTTTATACCAATAAAAGGCTTTTTCTAAATTCTTTTCTATTCCTTTTCCATTGTGATAACATAAAGCCAAACTATTCATTGCATCAATGTGACCATTTTCAACTGCTTTTTGACACCAATAAAAGGCTTTTTTAAAATTACTTTCTGTTCCTTTTCCATCATTATAATATATTTTCAAATTAAACATTGCATTAGTGTGTTCACCTTCTGCTGCTTTTTGATTCCAATAAAAGGCTTTTTTTAAATTCTTTTCTGTTCCTTTTCCATAGTGATAATATCCAGCCAAATTAAATATTGCATCATCATTACCATTTTCAACTGCTTTTTGACACCAATAAAAGGCTTTTTCTAAATTCTTTTCTGTTCCTTCTCCATT